TTCCCGACTGAGCCGACTCCAGAAATCAGACCAAATTATGGTTCTGAGGGGGGGCCAGGGGCGGAGCCAGAGGGGGTTCAAAGAGGGCCAGATGGGCCCCTGATAAGCTCGAGGGCGGGAGCAAAACCAAGAACCATGACTGAACTTCAGGAGCTTCACCGCTGCTGACATGTTTAGGCTGCTTGAATATTCCTGCCGAGTTCCAGGTTTCCACAACAACCGTTTCCTTCATGTAAACGTGGGATTGCACAACCCACCGGGCTTTCATCCGATTTAGTCTTTGTTCTGCATATTTTCATCTTCTTTACGTCTGGCTGGCTCATCCCTTGAGTTAGAGGCAGAGGCTTAAAACACCCTGATCAAATCTCCTTTCACAGATTTAAGAAAAGAAGAAGAAAAGATTTTCTCTGACTTCCTGGTTGAGTCAGAAACATTTCAACAGCAGTTTCACAACAAATGAACGGAACCAGAACCAGAACACGGAGCCTGCGCGTGATTTACTGCTGGAGGTGAATCATCACCAGGAGTGATTTCAGAGGAGAAGGCGCTGGTTCTGGTTCTGACCCGAGCTGAGCTGGCTCTGGGTCAGCCTGTGTGGGGAGCTGGTTCTGGTTCTGACCCGAGCTGGTCGGAGGGAAGTTCACCGCGGACGGAGAGGAGAGCAGAGAAAAGGGGAACAATCATACAGGTCTGACCCGTTCCCATCCCGCCCACGAACAGCTCCAGAACCCGCCTCCCCCCGGGAGACGGTTCCAACAACCAGACTGATTAAACCCTGAGACCGAACCAGAACCAGAACCGGAACCCTGCAGCAGGATTCCTTCACACAGCAAATAAATATTAAATAAACCCGAACCAGCCAATCATTAAACAGCTCAACTCCAGCTAACTTCCCCAACACGATAAAACAAACACATGAAGCGGACCGAACCGGACCGGACCATCGAACCGGACCGGGACTCACCTCCTCCTGATGTGAAGCGACAGCTGCTGCACCTCTGGTCGGGAGACCCAAACCCACCTGATTGATGTCAAACAGCTGTAAAAAACCTGGGCACTACATCCGGTTGGCTCACCTTCAAAATAAAAGCCTATATCTGGGAGGAGAAAGGACCGCGAGAAAAAGTTTATAATGATTCAAGACTCCTGTTTAAAAACAGAAAAGGGTTAGCTCACAAAAACATAAAATACACACATGTGACTTCACTCACACTAGAGGCTCATTAGGGTCACCATGGTAACCATCAGTGACTCGTCAGCGGCGTGTGTTTAATGGAGCAGATGTGAGGGGTTACAAAGACCAACACTTCCTCCTTGTGAGATAACATTTAGAGCTAAATGTCTGTTATTATATTAAACTCTTGTGACGTCTGGCAGAGAGTCCGAGCGAGAGAGGATGCTGAATTTACCTCTTGTTATGGTTAAAGCAGCAGGGCGTGGCCTCCTCCCTTTTCTGTTCCAGGATGAGGCTCCTGCTCAGCACTGGAGCGTCTCTGCAGACAAATGAAGAGTAATCAGAATACTTCTGTTCTGGAGGTCTGGTGGCTACAAACCAGCTGCTGAATGCACTGAAGTCAAAGAAAATGAAATGGCATAACAACGTTCTGAGTTGTTTTGTAATTAGATGATTTTAACAGAAAGGTCAGCAGAATAAAAGAAAGTGTCAGACCACTCTTTAGGATAAAAATTAGGTGCAATAAAATAAAATTAGAAATCATTTTTTGAAAATGAAATACAGGCCATCATTATATTTTAAAGGTAATTATCTGTTCAATTCGGAAATGGAAACATTTAGACATTTTTAGTTGTTTTTAAAAACAAACATGCTTAAAACCTAACTGTGAGGCTTTTGTTTTGAAGGTTGAGTCACTTCCTGTGTAGAAACACTAGTCTGCTGTGTGATTTCCTGTGAGTAACCCAGAAAATCACACAGCAGCCTGTTTATTCTGACATAATTCACTTACATCTTTAAAATGTGAGAATTGTTGAGTAACAGTTAAACCAGACCCTGTTGCTGCTCCTGGTCCCTTCACTGCAGCTTCTCCTGCTGCACCTCCTGCTGCAAAGGGGACCAACAGGAGCTGCAGCTTCTCCTGCTGCACCTCCTGCTCCTGCTGCAAAGGGGAGCAACAGGAGCTGCAGCTTCTCCTGCCGTTCCTCCTGCTCCTGCAGCAGTAAGGGGCCAGGAGCAACAGTAGGAGCTGCAGCTTCTCCTGCTGCACCTCCTGCTCCTGCTGCAAAGGGGAGCAACAGGAGCTGCAGCTTCTCCTGCCGTTCCTCCTGCTCCTGCAGCAGTAAGGGGCCAGGAGCAACAGTAGGAGCTGCAGCTTCTCCTGCTGTTCCTCCTGCTGCAAAGGGGAGCAACAGTAGGAGCTGCAGCTTCTCCTGCTGCACCTCCTGCTCCTGCTGCAAAGGGGAGCAACAGTAGGAGCTGCAGCTTCTCCTGCTGCACCTCCTGCTCCTGCCGCAGTAAGGGGCCAGGAGCAACAGTAGGAGCTGCAGCTTCTCCTGCTGCACCTCCTGCTCCTGCCGCAGTAAGGGGCCAGGAGCAACATAGGAGCTGCAGCTTCTCCTGCTGCACCTCCTGCTCCTGCCGCAGTAAGGGGCCAGGAGCAACAGTAGGAGCTGCAGCTTCTCCTGCTGTTCCTCCTGCTGCAAAGGGGAGCAACAGTAGGAGCTGCAGCTTCTCCTGCTGTGCCTCCTGCTCCTGCTGCAAAGGGGAGCAACAGTAGGAGCTGCAGCTTCTCCTGCTGCACCTCCTGCTCCTGCCGCAGTAAGGGGCCAGGAGCAACAGTAGGAGCTGCAGCTTCTCCTGCTGCACCTCCTGCTCCTGCCGCAGTAAGGGGCCAGGAGCAACAGTAGGAGCTGCAGCTTCTCCTGCTGTTCCTCCTGCTCCTGCAGCCACAGTGAGACAAAATAAAACATCTGCATGGAAATGAGCTGGAGTCTCTGACTGATAATTAAAATAATCACGTACTGAAGCTCCTGAGGTCTCACAAACGACAAGAACATAACGACGCTCAAGTTGATGCTTCGTCTTCTGCAGTTGGTAATAAATCTGTCCACAACCCCTGTTCCTGTGGCAGAGGAAGAGGATGCCTACAGAACCACCTCTGTATCTTGTGTCTGTCTCAGATGAGACGTGACAGCTCCACCAGAGCCAATCCTCCGGTGGGCGGGTGAACAGACTAAAGCAGAAACATCAGAACCAGAACCAGCAGCTCATCCAGCTTACATCTAAAATCCTGTTTTCCACACCAGCTGTTGGTGTGTCAGTTTGACTCAAGCTCATCCCGTGAGTTGGGAGGTCAAAGGTCATCAAACAAAAACCCACAAAACATTCCTGCTCAATAACTGAAAATGTGAGAGACATAAATAAAGTGAACTGAATATGAAGATGTTTGAATATGGAGTTAATCATTATTGAATTATTTTATGTGTTTCTTAATAATAATAATAATAATAATAATAATATTGCTTTTAGGGAAAGAGGCACCGCTGGTTCCCTACTGTTATTATAACCTTTATTTTCACAAAATTTTCAAAATATGCAACAAAAAATATTGTCTTTTACATTTTATTGACATGATAGTGAAAAGGTAAATATCAACATAGGGGGTAAAAGACATTATTTTCAAATGTTAATGTCACACATGGAGTAGAATTAATTTTTACCTCAATAAAGTGCTGGTTTTTATTCATAAAAAAAACTATGTATTTTTTAATCAAATGTATTTAATATATTTTATATTTACCATCTTCTGCAGGGGTGGTGAGATCTCTTAGGCTGTAAAAGGGAACAACAGATGTGGGGCTGATCATCTTTTCACTCATTCCTTCACAATATTTTAGTTCAGTCTGCCTTGATGCAGACAATAAAGGTGTGTGTGTGTGTGTGTGTGTGTGTGTGTGTTACATTTTGAAGCACAGAAACCTTTGGAATGCATATAACTGATTTAGCATCAATATTTGACTTGAAATATGTATTATTTTGTAAGTTTAGGTCTCATCCACAGTGAATTAGAATAGTTTGTCATTACTGTGGTAATTATAGTCAGTTGTTCAATTCAATTCAATTCAAAAATACTTTATTAATCCCAGAGGGAAATTGATTGCTGTAGTAATTCAGAATAATAATAATAATCAAGTCATCAAAGAGTTGTTGTATATTACAATGGCTGTTGGCAGGAAGGATCTCCAGTAGCGGTCAGTGTTGCAGCCAAACTGAAGAAGCCTCTGACTGAAGACACTCTTCCGTTGTCGGACAGTCTTGTGAAGAGAATGCTCAGGGTTGTCCATCATTTTCTTGATTCTCTGGAGAATCCTTCTTTGCATTATCTCCTCCAGCGGTTCCGAAACTTCCGTAACTCTGGCTGAGTCCTTGAAAGGGCTTGGAGTTCCTCCATCTTGTTGGCCAGTGATCTCCCATTGCCCATTACGATCGATGGAAGAGATGGTTTGAATTTCCTCTTTCTCTGTCTCCGTTTTGCTCCCGCTCTGCACCCACGCTTCTTGCGTTTTAGCTCATGTGGGACTTGTGGCTTCAGTTGAGGTATTATTTCAGCCTTTCCAATGTTAATCAGCTGCTCCCGATTGTAAACCAGCTTGTTGCCATGGTTACGCATCATAACAAATGCTCAAAAAGTGAAAAAAGCTAAAATATAGCAGTAAAAATCCTCCAAGCTTCACAGCACCAGAAACAGAAAAGTAAAATGTCAAAAAAAATTGTTTTTCTTGACAAACTAGAAGAAAAAATGCCCAAGAAAAGGCAAAACGTACATATAGGGTTAGGGTTGATTTTGTTAGACATCAAAGAAGCAACAGAAAGATCGTCCCTGTCTTTGTGGCGTTTGTTGTCGACACACGACGGTTATTATTTTAACCCGCCATTATCTTTGGTCAATGCGACACATCTCGCGATATCTTCAAGGTCACGTGGATAAAGATTTGGGATCACCGATATTAGAAGGTACTTTCTGCTTTTATTTTATATACTTTGGTTTAAAATAACGAAGTTACGCAATGAAATCAGTGCGAACGACCACACATTTGCACAGAAGGTCGCTGAAATCCGCGTTTCTGCAGATTTAGGGGCCGCTTATGTCGACCCCGCCTGGAGAAACTGTCGAACCTTCGAAATAAGAGCTCCGTGGTTTCCGCGCGTGCCGTTGCTACAAAAACAGTTAGCTTCACCGGGACGCATCAGCTCCTCTGGTAACCCCGGAGTTATTTCAAACACATCTGATGTGGGTTATATGTGATGGGGAAACCATATTAACTACGGCTAACCAGTAGCCAGCTGTTAGAGGTCACTCTAACTAATTTACGGTGTAGCTGCTAGCGTTAGCATGAACCGTCGGCCTGTTCAGGAAGCAGGCGCGAGCTTTTATTTTCCAAAATGACTTCTTGGTGTCAGCAGTGAGGCTGCAGATCCCTGCTCCCCATCAGGATGTTTTCCTGATGTTTCTGCTCTGTTTAAAGATGATTTCCGTCTTCAGCAGGGAAATCTACAAGTTAAAGAGGAGGGGAAACTAACTGGTTACCAAACTGCGCTCAACACCACTGAGTACGTTTGTGTTTTGATTTAGTTTAACTGATTTCATGTTCTGTATGCTCACATGAACTTTAAAGCAGACACACTGGTTCAGAATGCAATTATATAAAATACTTACAGGTAATTAAAAGTATCACAAAATAAAACAAATAACAAACAGATCACGTGTTGAACATAATCCAGTTATTCTGCACAGTGGTGATAATTTACCCAACATTTTGAGCCCTTTCTTAAGATTTTATACAACTGTTTAGTCACGAAGCGTGTCTGTTCTTAACTCCAGTGTTAGTGTTTTACTAGCGACCCTGATGAGACAACAGCACCATAAAAGGCTGGAGTTTCTTCATCTTTTTGGAAACAATTTCTCCAGATTATCAACCCGTAGTGAAACATCTGATTTAAACCAGATTGGATAAATTAAACATTTGAATAAAACCAGACAGGTTTTCTAGGTTTTGATGTGTCCCTAAACCATCCTCTCCTTTGTGTTCGTACAGCTGCGATGGCTCACCTCGCCAACCATGGCAGGCTGCTCCTGCAGCGCCTCCATCAGCAGCGAGAGATGGACTTCCTGTGTGACATCACCATCATGGTAAAAGACGTGGAGTTCCGAGCTCACCGCAACATCCTTGCTGCCTTCAGCAACTTTTTTTCTGGCCAGGCTGAGAAAGGCGAAGAAGTCACAATTTTAGACCCTGAGAAGGTCAGCAGGTACTCTCTGGAGAAGCTCCTGGAGTTCGTCTACACCGGCCAGATGAATCTCAGCAGGTGAGACGGCATGTTTTTGTCTCAAAGCTGCTGCTTCTCAGAAATGCAGACATTTGTTTGTGTTTTCAGCACCAGGCAGGCCGCCGTGCGTCGGGCTGCTGTGTTCCTGGGAATGTCCGAGGCCATCAAGTACCTGGAGGAGGTCCTTCACTGGTCCGAGCTAGGTGAGTCCCAGTCAGAGCTGGACAAGGAGGCTGGAGCGTCGCCCCCGAGCCCCAGCAGCCCCAGCTCTCCCCTCCCTCTGTCTATCGCCTCTGGCATTGGGGAGTGGCACAGCGAGGAGCAGGAAGGGAAGGACCAGGACTACGAGCCCGGAGAGGAAGACTTTGACTTTGAAGAGAGGAGTGATGAAGAGATCACGCCCGCAGCGCAGAAGGGTGTCGGCCATCGAGGGACAGGCAGGAAGAGGGGCCGCAGGCCGAAGAGCTTCAGCGAAGAGCAGGTTGAGCAGAGCGGCTCGTCCGACATGCCCAAAATTCAGAGCTACAGGGGGAGGGGCAGACCCAGAGGGAGGGGCCGAGGACGAGGAAGAGGAGCGTCCACCATGTCTGCATCTGATGATCTGTTCGAGGTGGATTCTGACACAAGCCTGAAGGACTTTGGAGACACTTCTGCAGACTGGAGCCCCTCCCAGGACGACGAGTCTCCTACCAAGAAGCCTCGGCTGAGCTTCGGAGACGGGAGGAGGGGGCGGGGTAGGGGGAGAGGACGGGGGAGAGGCAGGGGCCGCCCCAGGAGGAGGATAAAGGAGGAGGAGGAAGAAGAAGAAGTTGGGATCTTGGGGGCTGAGGATGACGAGGAGGAGGAGGAGCAGGGGGAGGTCCAGGAAGGGGAGATGGGGGAGACGCTGTCCTGCTGTGAGTGCAACAAACTCTTCAAAGACGTGAGCAGCCTGCGGCGCCACGAGAAGATCCACAAGGGTCTGAAACCGTTCTCCTGCATCTTCTGCTCCAAGACCTTCAGACAGGCCACGCAGCTGAAGACGCACCTGAGGATCCACACAGGTGAGGGGGGGGCCGACGCATCCACACAGGTGAGGGGGGGGCCGACGCATCCACACAGGTGAGGGGGGGGCGATGGCTATACATCCACACAGGTGAGGGGGGAGGGCTATACATCCACACAGGTGAGGGGGGGGGGGGCGGCACATCCACACAGGTGAGGGGGGGGCCGACGCATCCACACAGGTGAGGGGGGGGCGATGGCTATACATCCACACAGGTGAGGGGGGAGGGCTATACATCCACACAGGTGAGGGGGGGGGGGCGGCACATCCACACAGGTGAGGGGGGGGCGATGGCTATACATCCACACAGGTGAGGGGGGAGGGCTATACATCCACACAGGTGAGGGGGGGGGCCGACGCATCCACACAGGTGAGGGGGGGGCGATGGCTATACATCCACACAGGTGAGGGGGGAGGGCTATACATCCACACAGGTGAGGGGGGGGGGGCGGCACATCCACACAGGTGAGGGGGGGGCGATGGCTATACATCCACACAGGTGAGGGGGGAGGGCTATACATCCACACAGGTGAGGGGGGGGGGCGGCACATCCACACAGGTGAGGGGGGGGCGATGGCTATACATCCACACAGGTGAGGGGGGGGCGATGGCTATACATCCACACAGGTGAGGGGGGGGCGATGGCTATACATCCACACAGGTGAGGGGGGAGGGCTATACATCCACACAGGTGAGGGGGGGGGCCGACGCATCCACACAGGTGAGGGGGGGGGGGGGGGCGGCGCATCCACACAGGTGAGGGGGGGCGATGGCTATACATCCACACAGGTGAGGGGGGAGGGCTATACATCCACACAGGTGAGGGGGGGGCCGACGCATCCACACAGGTGAGGGGGGGGGGGGGGGGGCGGCGGCGCATCCACACAGGTGAGGGGGGGCGATGGCTATACATCCACACAGGTGAGGGGGGGGGCGGCACATCCACACAGGTGAGGGGGGGGGCCGACGCATCCACACAGGTGAGGGGGGGGGGGGCGGCGCATCCACACAGGTGAGGGGGGGGGCCGACGCATCCACACAGGTGAGGGGGGGCGATGGCTATACATCCACACAGGTGAGGGGGGAGGGCTATACATCCACACAGGTGAGGGGGGGGGGGGGGGGCGCATCCACACAGGTGAGGGGGGGGCGATGGCTATACATCCACACAGGTGAGGGGGGAGGGCTATACATCCACACAGGTGAGGGGGGGGGGGGGGGGCGCATCCACACAGGTGAGGGGGGGCTGCGGCTATACATCCACACAGGTGAGGGGGGGAAGGGGGGGCTGACACATCCACACAGGTGGGGGGGGGCTATACATCCACACAGGTGAGGGGGGGGGCGACGCATCCACACAGGTGTGGGGGGGCGGCGGCTATACATCCACACAGGTGAGGGGGGGGGGCTGCGGCTATACATCCACACAGGTGAGGGGGGGAAGGGGGGGCTGACACATCCACACAGGTGAGGGGGGGGGGCTATACATCCACACAGGTGGGGGGGGCACCTACGCATCCACACAGGTGGGGGGGGGGGTGGCGACGCATCCACACAGGTGTGGGGGGGCGGCGGCTATACATCCACACAGGTGAGGGGGGGGGGGCTGCGGCTATACATCCACACAGGTGAGGGGGGGAAGGGGGGGCTGACACATCCACACAGGTGAGGGGGGGGGGCTATACATCCACACAGGTGGGGGGGGCACCTACGCATCCACACAGGTGGGGGGGGGTGGCGACGCATCCACACAGGTGAGGGGGGGGGGGGGGGGGCTATACATCCACACAGGTCGGGGGGGGCACCTACGCATCCACACAGGTGAGGGGGGGGGGGGGCGACGCATCCACACAGGTGTGGGGGGGCGGCGGCTATACATCCACACAGGTGAAGGGGGGGGGGGCGACGCATCCACACAGGTGAGGGGGGGCGGCGACACATCCACACAGGTGAGGGGGGGGGGCTATACATCCACACAGGTGGGGGGGGGGTGGCGACACATCCACACAGGTGAGGGGGGGGGGGCTATACATCCACACAGGTCGGGGGGGGCACCTACGCATCCACACAGGTGAGGGGGGGGGGGGGGCGACGCATCCACACAGGTGTGGGGGGGCGGCGGCTATACATCCACACAGGTGAGGGGGGGGGGGCGGCGGCTATACATCCACACAGGTGGGGGGGGGAAGGGGGGGCTGACACATCCACACAGGTGAGGGGGGGGGGGGGGCTATACATCCACACAGGTGGGGGGGTTCGGGACATCATTAGTGAACGAGTCCAGTTTCTCTGTTCCTCATTTCTAAATTAATTAGTTCCTATAAATTCAGTCACATGACCTGATGGTGTGTGTGTGTGTGTGTGTGTGTGTGTGTGTGTGTGTGTGTGTGTGTGTGTGTGTGTGTGTGTGTGTGTGTGTGTGTGTGTGTGAGAGAGATTTGTTACTGATCTCTCACCACTACTGCTTCAGTGGAATGGTGGATCGTCCTCATCGAGCTTCTCCTTCTCTGGTTTTTAACCATTTGTGGCGAGGCGTTGGCTACTACAGCTCACACAGGTGTGTGTCCCCCCCCCCTCCCCAGGTGAGAAGCCCTTCAGCTGCAGCAGCTGTGACAAGTGTTTCGCTCAGAAGTGTCAGCTGGTGGCTCACCGCCGGATGCACCACGGCGAGGAGAAGCCGTACACCTGCGAGCGCTGCGGCTTCAAGTTCGCCACGTCTTCCAACTACAAAATACACATCAGGTACGCAGAGCAGCGCCCCCTGCTGCTGGGCTCGGGGTTCGTTTAGACCAGGAGAAAAATAAACTGCACAGTTATTCGTTTGTTCTTTTAGTATTTATGCAGAATTTATTGTCTTTTATGCTGAAGAAATAAATAATTCAGAGACGATTTAAATGACGAAGTCGACAAAATCACTTCAGTGGGTTGAAGCTAAACCTTTTGCTGTTGGTTAAATCTGAAACCCGTTTGGGGAGAAAGACAAAAACCAGGTGATCCCAGGTGATTTTATAGTTCTTTGATTCGTGGCCGTCAGGATCCAGAAAGACTACAAACATGAACAAATGTTGGTGCTGTTTGTTGGTTCAGACTCCACAGCGGGGAGAAACCGTACGTCTGCGACATCTGCGGTCAGGCCTTCGCTCAGTCCAGCACGCTGACCTACCACAAGCGCCGGCACACCGGCGAGAAGCCGTACCAGTGCGATCTGTGTGGGATGTCGTTCTCCGTCTCCTCCTCCCTCATCGCCCACGCCAGGAAACACACAGGTGGAGCTCACCTCCGTCTCCTGGGATCACCGCGGACCCGGCCGCGGCTCTAACACGCTTAACGGCGGCTTTGTTTTCCAGGAGAGACTCCGTACAGATGCTCTCAATCCAAGTGTGACGCCAAGTTTGTGACGTCGTCAGAGCTGAAGAAGCACATGAGGCGACTCCATCCAGGTTGGTGTATCTGTCTGGTGGCCGAGTCCGGCTCAGCTCAGATGTTTTATTTGGTGTTTCTGCTCTGCTGAGTTAAAGATGTCTGACAGGAAATGCGAAGAATCCGTTTTTTCTTCAGCAGCAGCGATTTTAAGGCAGCTTTAGGCGTGAAACCAGAATAAACACAAACGATCTTTTCCTGGAAGGAGCGGCTGGAACAGCCGACCCGTCCTAACAGGAAGCTGGATGAACTGTTTGATTCAGAGTGTTGGTGCGTGGCGTTTATGGGATGTTTGTGTTTCTGCTCAGATGGGAACTCTGGAGTTCAGTGTCTGCTGTGTGGGAACCGCTTCGCCAGCGTGAAGAACATGATCAAACACCAGGAGAAGGCTCACGCCGATGAAGTTCGACAGCACAAGGAGCGGGCGCGAGCCGGTCAGCTGATCGTCCCCAACACCAGCCGTTCACATTTTATTAATGACGTCCTAGATTTAGCTAGAGACGCAGGTGCTGTTCTGCTGCGTCTAACTACACCTCCCATAATGCAGCGGGGCAAAACCGGCTTGGGTTTGAACTTTACAGATCTGATCATAAAAACTTGTCTTGGAGCGTTCTAGAAGAGACCGACGTAAAGATGTGCTTCTGACTAAACACCTTTCATTTCCTTCCTAATCTAATCTAATCCAGTCCAAAGATAACTAGTTGTTAATTTCTGAGGGATGAAACAGATAATCTGGTGTTTTTAAACCGTTAAACATTAATGTTGTGGTGCTAACTTTCCTCCTGCCCCGTCCCCTGAGGGATTGTGGGTAATTCCTGAATAACACTGGTTTCTCTCTGCAGTTGTACTTCTGGCCTCCAGCCACCCGATGGCGTTTGTTCAGAGTAAACTCTCCCAGGAGAACAAGTCTCTGGACTCCATCTCCGAGGCCGAGCCACCCAACCCGGAACCTTCCACCCCCGCACCCAAAGCCGCCGCGCCATCCACCACCCCCTCAGATGCCGCCGCCGTCTCTTCCAAATCCACCACCGCCGCCTCCCTCATCCAGGACTTCAAGGCGGAGCCTGCCCACGACCCGCTGGCCTCCACTGAGCCAGTGACCTTTGAACCCGACCAGGAGCAGACCATCAACTCGGACACGCTGCACGCCCTGGTGGAGCAGTTGAGGCCCGCGGCGTCACCTGCCGCCAGCCTGGAGCAGATTGTCATCATCAGGACGGTGGACACTGCTGAGAACACGCCCCCTCAGCAGTGAGCGGGGTCAGGGGTCACCCAGAAAGGAGGGGCTCCTCCATTCCAAACTTGTGTTTGGAATAAAAACAAAAGTTGGCTTTAATCCGGAAGCGGGGCTGGAATTCTCTTTGTTCTTCCGTCTCGACCGGAACAGTTTGGGTTTTAGACGTGACCAAAAGTAAAAGTCACAACATCACCGTATCACACACACACACACACACACACACACACACACACACACACACACACACACACACACACACACACACAGGTTTCTGCCTCCTCTTTACTCTATTTAGTTTTTCAGATGCAAACATTTAGTTTTAATGTTTGAGCTCCAAAATAAACGTATTCAAATATCTTGAAGCTTTATTTTTGTCACGGATTCAGACAAATCTTTATGAATGGACTTTTGTTCACCAGGATTAAAGTGAAATAGGATTAACATCTTTTTTAACGCTGGAATTATTAAACGTTTTAGTTCACCTGCTGCTGAGCAGGACGCTTTAGATTATGAGTTTTTGACAAATTAAAACTCAGAAACTTCTGATAAAAGCAGAATTTTTCTTTTATTTTGTTATTTTTACTTTCAGGATTTATGAATAAAACCTTTTGATGATAAGATTTGATTTAAAATCCCCAAAGAGACGAGTTTCCTAATCTAAATGCTAAATGGTAAATGGCCTGTATTTGATATAGCGCCTTCTAGAGTCCTGGAACCCCCCAAGGCGCTTTACAACACAATCAATCATTCACCCATTCACACACACATTCAAACACTGGTGGGGATGAGCTACAATGTAGCCACAGCTGCCCTGGGGCACACTGATAGAGGTGAGGCTGCCGAGCACTGGCGCCACCGGTCCCTCCGACCACCACCAGCAGGCAACGTGGGTTAAGTGTCTTGCCCAAGGACACAACGACAGCGACAGACTGAGCGGGTCTCGAACCTGCGACCTTCCGATTGCGAGGCCTTAACTCCTGTGCCACCGTCGCCCCATCTAAACGTGTAAATAATCCGAGAGACTTCAGATGTTTCCAGATTATTAATCCTGAATTTAAACTAATCAGCTGCAGAAACTAACGTGACATCCTGGTTATTTAATCTGATGCACCGCTCTGGCTTAAGTATTAAAACTCCTCATGGGTGCATTTATTCGTGTTTCTGATATTAATCTGAATAAAACGTTATTTTTAAACACGTCTGATTTATGCAGTTTAAGAATAAATTAAATCTTGTTTCAGGAACAGAGTCTTTAGTTTTTCTAATCTTTATGTGTTTTAATAGTTGAAACTTTTCCTCTAGTGAGTTTTTATTGTTTACTTTTAGTGAAAGTGTCACGTTGAGTCTGTTAATCTGTCGATGCTTTAGCAGTTTTTATTATTTAGAAGGTTAAATGAAGCATTCCTGTTGTTTTTATGAACTTGCATCTCTTGTACAGTTGTGAGAATTATATCTGAACAGGTTGCTGTATAAAAACATTCAGACAAAATAAAGCAAAAAGGGACAAAAATCTGTGTTTTTTGGTCTTTACAACATTTTCATCAGTATTTTATCTGTTTATATTAGTGTTTAATATAAAATTCCAAAATAAAACTTGAGATTTCCACCATTTAATGTGTCTATGAAAGTTTATTCTGTTATATTTTAGGATAATAAACCCAGATTTTATAAATGCTGAAAAACGAGTGACCTAGAGTGTAAAGGGCTGAATAAATGAATGTAAAAAATGTGCCTGATATTATAATGAAGGGCTTTTCTTGTTGCAGAATTATTGGCTTGGTTTCTAAAACAAACCCAGACGGGATCTCTGGTCATGACTGGACCGGCTGATGCTTTAAAACTAAATGTCAGGTTCCTCTGGTTCTTTTCTGTTATCTAGTTATTTTCCAAAGCTTCAGGTTTGACCCTGAAAGTTAAAACGTGATGGTGTTCTCCCTCCCACCTATTAAAACAAGATTACACAGGAACAACTATCAAAGCACAAACGCAAAAGAATAAATGTAAACACTGAAAGGAAATTTGCATCAAAGACATTTGTCCATTTTTGCATGGAAGGCCTGTCAAGAATTTACTGGTTAATGGGTTTACCATAACCCATTTACCACATGGAGTTATCAGATCTTCACTAACAGCTTCTCCATCACAGGACATGGCTTAGAAACATTTCTGTCACGATCTGCCCCTGCCCGCCTGACTGTGTTCCTTTCCTGCCATGATTACCCTTATTGTTCTCACCTGTCCCTCGTTTACCTGCCCATGTTTCCCTAATTAGCCCTCTGTATTTATACCACCTGTTTTGCCCCTGTCCTTTGTCAGATCATTGTTGTTGTTTGTTCCTGTTCCTGTTCCTGTTCCTGTTCCTGTTCCTGTTCCTGTTCCTGTTCCTGTTCCTGTTCCTGTTCCTGTTCCTGTTCCTGTTCATCCCATCCCATCCCATCCTGCCATTAAACCATTTTTTACTTTTACTGAAGCCTGCATTTTTACCTCCTGCTTAGCTCATCCACACATGGTCCGCCGTCTCCACCTCCTACACCGTGACAATATCTCCTCCTCCACAAAATAGTTACTTTTTGGAACAGAGAGTGCATTTTAGTAATCAGGAAAATAGTTTTTACTCACATCATCATGATTCAGATGTGCTTTATATCCTTTCATATCTGATCATAAATTTGGTGGGTTTTTGTGTTACTGCTCAGCCCTTTTTTGTCTCAGAATCATCTGGTATCTACACCAGTCCCGACTCTGTTACTCTGTGTTCATTTGATTTGGTCTAATAATGGTAAATATGACCCCTCTGTTGTTTCCATGGCAACAAACGTTAGTACCGACCTCCATGATGGCTAACGAAACAATTTCACAGCGTTACACAGCTGTTTGTGATAAACACGAGATAAAAATTAATCCTTTCATTCTAAATGTTTTACAGCAAACGTCTGAAGCAGAGAGGTGAGTTTCTGAGCCTAAAAGCGTAAAGTTTTATCAGCTAGCGAAACATTAGCACTAGCATACTGCCACATCCGGGTCTTTATTAAGAGTCTGAAACAAAACAGGTAAATAAAGAAAAATGAGAGAGAACACAAAAATAGAAAATAAAAACTCAACCTGAGAACATTTTAGATGGGGATGAATTAGCATTGAATCCAAATCACACGTAAAATATTTGATTTTTTTTTTAAATATAAACTTTGGATCAAAAATTTTAACAGATAAATACATCCATATGTTCTGAGTTGTACAAAATAAAATCAGAACTTAGCTTTTATTCATGTGTTACATGTTTAACCCTTTGTGGTGCTACATGCCTTGGTTCCATCCAGACTGGATCAGGAGTTCTGGACCAATTCTAAACTCTTATTCTGTTTCAGAAACTTCACCTTAAACCTGAGAGGAAACGACAATCAGCCCGTCCTCCAGAGGCTCGGAGACGAGGATGTTTTTGCTATGTCTAAATGTCTCCAGAACCACCAGGCTGTGACAGGTGAGTGGTCAGGTTCAGAGCAGAACCCCTGGATCACACATGCACCACATCAGCTGTTTTCTGTGAGCAGGTCTGGATCTGAGGTACAACAACGTGAGCGACGAAGGCGCCCGACACCTCGCAGACCTCATAAAGGTAGACGAATCATCCATCAGGCTGAAACAGCTGGTTTCACGGTGTTTAATGTGTGATTCCTGTTGAGCAGGTGGAGAATTCAGCCCTCCGCTCCTTAAACCTGATGTTTAACAACATTCAGAAGGAAGGAGCTGAACTCCTCGCTGGAGGTCTGCAGGTTGGTGTTAGGATGTCCTTCAGCCACAGCTGCAGCTGGTTCATCTTTTACAATTAGATTTCAACCCCAGCTTATATTTAACAAAACCTCAGAAAAGTCTAGAAGCTGCTGATCCACGTGGAGGGAATACAGATCACCCTAACAGCTGATGCTAGTGAGTCCGTTAAACTAAAACCAGAACTAATAAGTAACCATCAGGTCATCCTGAGGTTTCAACATTTACAGAGTCGACGGGAAGCGTTCACAAACTCAAACCTGCTCCCTCACAGCTGAAACCTGAACGTTTAGGACGAAAGTCCTAACGACTAACAGAGTTCCTTCTTCTGCAGCAGAACCACAGCCTGATGTCTCTGAAGCTGTCTGGAAACAAACTCAGTAAGAAAGGATTCGTGGCTCTGGGCCGCGCGCTGCAGAGGAACCAGACGCTGCAGGAGCTGCAGCTGGCCGACTGTGACCTGGTACACACACACACACACACACACACACACACACACACACACACACACACACACTGAAGCTGCCCGTGTCTCTGCAGGACACCACTGATGTTTTAACTCTCAGCATCGTGCTGAAGATCAACCAGACTCTTCGCTCCGTGGACATCAGCCGGCCGCTGCTCTTCAGCCTGCAGGTACTGGTTCAGTCCAGGTCTGGACCAGATTCCGACTCTGGACCATCAGAACCACACATTCTGGGTCAGTAGGGTTAATTAGGAAGCCCGTCGGACCCTGGCCCAGAACCGTTGCCATGGACACCAACAAGCAGCCTGCTGGTGTTTCGACCTCCTGCTCAGATCTTTTATTATTTGTTGAGTTTAAACATTTTATGGTAAATCCAGATCATCCTGATGTTTCCAGGGAAACGATGATGTCAGCGGGCATCCGGGTCTTGTTAGATCTTTCCTCAGAGGTGGACTCGTTTCGTTAGAACATCCCGGTGAGCAGATTGGTTTTAGGAAGAGGTTTATGTGGAGAACCAGAGTGACTGCGTGGAGTTCCGCAGGGTTCTGTTCTGGGATCAGATTCTTCAGTGATCCTGGTTAACTAGCTGCTCATCTCCAGACAACCAGTTTCCTCCACCACTGCTGCTCAGCAGCAACTGGGTGCACTGGGATTCGTTTAGTTCGTTCACTGGTCTCAGAAGGACGGCATTAACTGGTCCAGAACTGGTCTTCTCTTGTTTAATCTTGTTCATTTGGGTCAGTACTGGACCAGAGCAGATGAGTTTTTGTCCCAGGAGGAGTGGACCTGGTCCTTCTCAGAGATGCTGGAGACGAACAGCAGCCTGGTGGAGCTCCATCTGGGGAAGATGGGCTTGACTGACACGGGCCTGGAGAGGCTGGCTAGAGGTCTGAAGCAGAACCGGAGCCTGCGCTACCTGGACCTGCGCTGGTAGGACCCAGAAGTCCTGGTCCAGCTCGGTCCAAACAAAGTCTTTTAAGCTGAGTTTTACTTCTGCTGCAGCAACCGTGTGACCCGGGACGGAGCACAGCACCTGGCTGAGGTTCTGACCCAGAACTCCTCCCTGGAGGTCCTGGACCTGTCGGCCAACAGGATCGAGGATGAAGGCGCGACGTGTCTGAGTGGCGCCATCGCTCGGCCCGAGTGCCCCCTGAGAGAGTGAGTCCAGTCCGTCTGAGAAGTTAAAACCTTGTGACCTTTGACCTTTGGGCTGGGTTCAGGTGAACTGAGTCGTTTTCTGACTTCATGGATTTTTAAAGAAATGATTCTGTTTTTCCAGTTTTGTTCATTTCTAGGATTTGAAAGTTTCTGAAGGAATAAAACATGTATTTTAATTAATTAACATAAATATTCCTTCTGCTTAATGAGAGGAAACCCGAGAACAGGAAGCCACGTTTAAGTTCTGCCTCCTGCAGGTTTTCTGTCTGCAGGAACAACATCAGGACGGAGGGACTGCTGTCTCTGTCCCAGGCCGTCGCCTCCGCCTCCGGTCTCACACACCTGTACATCTGGGGCAACCAGCTGCAGGAGCCGGTCTGCCGGGTGAGCCACGCCCCTCCAGGCTCCTCCTCCTGATTCTCCCCCCGTCTTTTACGCCAATGCTCATTTCCTCCATCAGGCCTTCTCACAGCTGATCTCCGGCGGTCACCTGGCTCCAGAGCACACAGACGTCAGCCCCTACCAAGTGGACGGTCACGTCTTCCTCGCCGAGGTCAACCAGAGGTTACGCAGCACGCTTTTCTGTTTAGAGACGGTTGGAGCTGCTACTTCCTGACGTTCCTCAGAGCCCAAAAGCTCACGTTTCCGTTCAAAAAGCCGAATCAGACCTCCTTACCTGTAAACTAACGAAGAAAATCCAAAGTTTCCTGTCTGAAGTTTTAAAGAACTAAAACTAAACCCTGCTGATGTTTGTTGTTATGAGCGTGTCTCTTGTTGCTATGGCTACATTAAACTTATAAACGTATTCTGTCCACAAATGCAGACACGTGGATGAGGCGCCTGACTTCAAACGTTTGTGAAACTATTAGATTTTATTCAGCAGGTGTGAGTTCTGAGTCACGTTTATTTAAAAATACACAACATCGTGTTTTAGAGTAAAAACCTGGTTAATGGAATCGGATCATTTCAAACTAAAGACTCAGCTGTGAAACAGGAACATCCTACCAAAGTAAAAGCACAGTGACGAGATACATTTAATCCAATCAGAAAGCACAATACTTTTATTTTGAAAGGCCTTTCCTGTTGGATGTCAGTCTAAATTTGCTAAATTTCTAAAAAAAAAGCATCAATCGAGTGTTTCAGTACTAAGTAGATATACATTTATTACCTTACAAGAATGTAAACTCGACTTATTCATCAGTTATTAAAAATAAAACACAACTCTAATAAAACGAACAGTTGATGTTTTTTAAATAGATTTTCTAGATTTGAGTTAATTTTGTTTGTTTGAAATCAGAAAACTTATGAATTACGAGTTATTTATGATGAAAAGCATCGACTCCTGACGGCTTTACAGATTATTTAACATCTCCTTCAATCCGGATTAAAACTCCTGGAACTCGTTCGGTTTTATAACAAATCAGTGAAAAATAAAAACGGGGTTGTGTCCCGGAGGCCGACCCTCCTCTTGATTGGTCGACTTCCACTCCGACTCCGTGAGGTTCTGATCCAACTCCAGCTGGACGTTTCTGTTCTTCGTGCTGTGCGTCAGCCGCTGTCTCTCCTGAGGTGCGACGGTCCAGCGCCGCAGCGCCAGCCGGGCCAGCGCTGGCATTCTGGGCAGAGCGCCGAGCAGCGCCGGCAACCAGGTCGAGCAGGGGGCAGAGGTCGAAGGTCGCAGGCTGAGGTCGGCGTCCTCCAGTGAGCCCAGACCTCCAGCTGTGAACAGGGCCGTCCAGCCATCGGCGCCGACCGTCCCGTTGTAGGACAGGTCCAAAACCCGGAGGGAGGACAGACGACCGTGCTTGCTCACCTCAGCTGGTCAAAGCAGACAAATCACACAGGGTTATTACCTGCTCCAGGTGAACAGGAAGTAGTAATCCTCAGGTGTACAGGTTACCAAGGTGACGCAGGTCATCGGTGGTGAGGTCACAGCTGCTGAGGCGGAGCTCCACGATGACGGACGGCTGAAGAGCGTCCAGCAGCAGAAACAACCGTCCACCGACCACTTTGCTCCAGGAGAGATCCAAACTGCGCAGGTAAGGCGCCGCCAGGGCTGGTAGCAACCACAGAGTGTTACTACAGGTGTGTGTGTGTGCGTGCGTGCGTGCGTGCGTGTGTGTGTGTGTGTGTGTGTGTGTGTGTGTGTGTGTGTGTACATTTACCCAGGGCAGTGAAAGACTCGTCATTCAGCCTGCAGCTGCTGAGCGGCAGCCGCCTCATCTGCGACAGCTGGAGGGCGGAGACTAGCGGACTGACCACGCCCCCCACCTCCTGATTGGATGACACATCGAGCTCCATCAGCGCCGACAGAGAGGGGAGCACCTGGACTAGAGACAACAAGTCACGTGTCCCGTCTTTGCAGAAACCTGCTGAGCTTTAGTCTGATGTCTTTCAGCGACTCACTCAGAGCCTCCAGGTCGGCCGGCGACAGGCGGCACAGGTGCAGGTCCAGGATCTCCAGGTGTGTGACGTGAGCCAGGTGAGGGGTGAGACGGTTCAGTCCCCCAGTCAGCTGTTTGTTACAGGACAGGTCCAACTCTCGCACAGAGGGGAGGCAGCAGAGCAAACTCCCTGCAGGACAGATCATAAATATTCTCTAAGCACCACCGAGGTTGAGGGTTTAAATCCGCTCACCCAGATCCTCCAGGCTGTGGGGCGTCAGACCACAGGCCTGGAGCTGCAGAACAGTCAGAGAGACCGTGTGGGACAGGCAGGAGGACAGCTCTCTGAAGCCCCCGGCGTCCACTTCCTGTGTGAGCTGAGGGTTATAGGAGACGTCCAGCAGGCTGAGCTTTGGAAGGTCGGCTACCAGTCCTCCTGAGACGGAAACGCAGACGAATCCACCTTAAAAACGTCTGAATACACAGCTGGAACATTTACAGGAAGTTTCTTTAATCAGAGCAGGAAGTCGGCAAAATCTGGCATCCTGCTGTCCCTGAAACATCACCCATCCCATCGGGATGGAGACGCTGCGGGACTGCTGTCCAGCTGAGGTGAGGCGTCAGAATTACCCAGAGAGGCGGCGTCTGCTGCGGTGAGCTGACACGCCACCAGGTGGAGCTCCTTCAGCGATGGCTGGAGTTTCCCCAGCAGGCCTAACGCGCCGCCACCAACCCCGCTGTTCCAGGACAAGTCCAGGACCTCCAGGAGAGGAAGACAACCCAGAGCTTCACCTGCAGTAGATGAGTAAACAGCAGAGATTTTAGGATTAGGATTATGACTGGGATTAGGGAATTAAAAAGAGGCCAAAATCAGCCACATTCTAAATAAATTAAGACATTTTCAGTTTTCTGATCCTTCATCAGATTTAATTATCAGCATTTTCAGTTACACAGGTCCACGTGGGTTCACGAAAGTGGGATTAGGAAAAGAAGAAAATAGTGAGATTAAATTAAGATTAGCAGGTAAGTGAAACATCTTGAAGCTTCACCCAGAGCAGCGATGTCTTCATCCTTCAGCCTGCAGCTGCAGAGTCTCAGCATCCGGATCCCGCCCGCCAGCTGGAGGTGAGAGGTCAGCGCCCTTAGACTTCCACCAATCAGCTCGTTCCAGGACAAGTCCACGTCCTCCAGCTGGGGGAGGAACGGGAGCAGCGATGCTGAGGAGGAACCGGGCCACAAAGTTATATACGTGTGTGTGTGTGTGTGTGTGTGTGTGTGTGTGTGTGTGTGTGTGTGTGTGTGTGTGTGTGTGTGTGTGTGTGTGTGTACCAAGCTCCAGCAGGTCTGTAGCTGTCAGATCACAGTGAGCAACACTGAGACTCCGGCTGTCAGAATTCTTTCCGAGCTTCTGCAGGAAAACACAGACCCGACCCCAGCCGACATCACGCTCACTCTCAGCTGTAAAACACACACACACACACACACACACACACCATGAAGTCTCCTCACAGTTCTTCTCTGGCCATCTGTCCAAGTGGTCACCAGAGACACATTCCTCCTCCTCACCTGGACTCGGTCCTCTGTTCTCTGGCTCTGCGTCCTCTGGGATTCCCGTCTGCTCTGAGGTCCGAGACAGGAATCGTCCTAGTGGCTTCCTGTCGGAGGCTGAACGCTTCCTGCGGATCTGACTCATAATGACGTCAATGGGAGACCGTCTCTGGCTGCCGCCGTCCCGCCTCAGCTGACCATCTGAGCCAACATCAGAAATAAAGTAGACACAAAAATCATCATCCGTATGAAAGAGGATGAAACACCAGGTCTGTCACGCTGATTTCTTGGTTTTGTATGAAAGTATCCTAAAAAATCAGCTGGTGATCGGTATCGGCCAATCTGAAGCCCAAACGTTTGATTCTGTTCTGGTCCATGAACTCACCATCACTACCTGCTAATTCATGTTAGCAATAACAGAATCTTCATGAGATGTTTACCTTAAAAATCATTCATTCATGTGTGTGAGCAGGGCAGAGCTGAGCAAAAATTAGAAAACAGCCCAAAACCAGAACCTGTGGGCTACAGCTAATAAGCACAGAGGAGGCTTCATCATGGTTTGGAGCTACCAGATTAGAGCCAAAAGGTAAATAAAAACAAACCCAATGATCAAACCAAAGATATTTTTATCTGCCTTTTGTGTTTGTTTTATCAGTAACAGCTAGCCTGGCAAGCCAGACTAAATAAATGTATTATTTAAATTATTTATACATTTATAAATGTATAATTCAAACTTTGCAAAGCAAGAATTTGGTCTAGTTCACTAGGCTAGTAACAGCTGAATTACGAAAGTAAACAAGAACACGTGACTCTGTCCAAATTATTCAACTATTCAGATTTTTTCTCTGAGGATTACACCCAAATAACACAAGCTCGTATTCAGTTCCAGTTTTTATTGGACTGAAACAATAATTCAGATTAAACGCGTTTACCTGCTGACTCCATGTCCGTCTGCACGAACCTTCGTCTCCCGGTCAGAACCGTTAACAACCAGCTTCCCTGAACGCAACGCGGTTTATACAGATTATGGTAAATAACCGAATCTTTCGTTTAGAACTCTCATCTCGTTCTGTCTTCGGCTGCTGCACACCTGTACCTGCATGTGACGAGCGCGAGACGTGACGTCTCTCATCCCGGAAGTGCGACGGACACCACCTTCTGTGCTAATGTTTACCTGATCTGCACCAGAAGCGTATTTTAAATCACGTATTTGTTCACCAAGTAAAAACATTTGATTGGTTCTTTTAAACGAGTCCATAATCCCAGTCTAGATTAAATTCCTAATCTCGTTGATAAATCAGCAAAAATCCAAAGAAAACCCAACAGAATGTTTTTATGAATAAAAACAACTTCTTTTAAAACTTTCTTCCCCAAATATGAATTAAAAACCACTTTTCACCTATTAAAACAGACACGTTTTAAACAAATCTAGTTAGAATCGGTGACCACATAAACTCAGCTCACCTCCGTGTTACCGCTCTAATCTGCTTAAATTATTTATTTATTCTTTATTTCCAGTAGAAGATGAGGCAATGAAAACCAGACGAGACGTTTTCTTTTCAGGTTTATTTAACTGGAACTGAATCTGCACCCAGTGCAGGACTGGTTCTGTTCTGACTGGACTCCTGCTGTAAGGAGGAGTAGTATTCGGCATTCCTCCTCCTCCTCTGCTCTCCTTCATCTCCAGCAGGAGAACCGATGGAGTCGGACCTCCGAGTTGCTGCAGAAAAAGTGGAGCAGAGGTGACACAGGAGACGGCATTAATCCTGTGAAATGTCCCTAATGTGTTCCCGTACGTCCTCCTCTGAAGGAAAAACAAAAACAGAAGCTAGGAGTGGGAAGATGGAGTCGTTGGGATGAGGTCCGGTCCGGTTTTCAGTCGTCGTCCACCGTTGGTGTGATGGTCACGCCCCTCCTGATCTGTCCCCAACCAATCAGGCTGCGAGGAGACAAACAGGACAGACGCAGTGAGACGTTTGACACCAACTTCTAACCTCTGATTTCCACTAAACAGGATTATTACCATAAACCCACCAGCTTCTGGGCGTTCATCTCAAATAAAATAAAAACAAAACACGGAGAAAACCTGGTTTCCATCGTGTTTCTGGAGTTCATAAATCTGGATTACGGTCCAGTTTGAAAAAGACAAACCGCGTTTAAAACGACAACAAAAATCAAGCCCAGATCGGATCTGAGTGTGGACGAGTTTCAGATCTGGGAATCCTTCCAGCGGAAACTCTCCTCCAGCTGGAAATATGCAGAAGTTAGACGTCCCCAGCTAGCCTCTAACTAGTCTCCAGCTAGTCTCTAACTAGTCCCCAGCTATTATCCAACTAGTCCCCAGCTATTATCCAACCAGTCCCCAGCTAGTCTCCAACTAGTCCCTAGCTAGTCTCCAACTAGTCCCTAGCTTGTCTCCAACTAGTCCCTAGCTAGTCTCCAACTAGTCCCCAGCTAGTCTAACTAGTCCCCAGCTATTATCCAACCAGTCCCCAGCTAGTCTCCAACTAGTCCCTAGCTAGTCTCCAACTAGTCCCCAGCTAGTCTAACTAGTCCCCAGCTAGTCTAACTAGTCCCCAGCTAGTCTAACTAGTCCCCAGCTATTATCCAACCAGTCCCCAGCTAGTCTCCAACTAGTCCCTAGCTAGTCTCCAACTAGTCCCCAGCTAGTCTAACTAGTCCCCAGCTAGTCTAACTAGTCCCCAGCTAGTCTCCAACTAGTCCCCAGCTATTATCCAACTAGTCCCCAGCTAGTCTCCAAGTAGTCCCCAGCTAGTCTCTAACTAGTACCCAGCTAGCCTCTAACTAGTACCCAGCTAGCCTCTAACTAGTACCCAGCTAGCCTCTAACTAGTACCCAGCTAGCCTCTAACTAGTCCCCAGCTAGCCTCTAACTAGTACCCAGCTAGCCTCTAACTAGTACCCAGCTAGCCTCTAACTAGTCCCCAGCTAGCCTCTAACTAGTCCCCAGCAGCTGCAGGCCAGACTCTCCTTACCGCCAGTGTTTCTCCACACGTCGGCTCAGAGCGATCTTCTCTCCCACCTCTGTGCACACCGGGTTGGTGAGAACGATCTTGGCCAAATCGGCCTTGACGGCGCTGACCCGCCCGCCGGTGGACAGCGAGCCGATGTTCACCATCAGAACCTCGTTCTTAGACAGCTTCTGGACCTGGAACACAAAGGAACGCCGGAAGTTTACACCGGAGGTCCAGAGGAGCTGGGACTACATTTCCCATGATGCATGGCTCACCTTGGCAGCCTTTTTGTCTCCCTCTGTGCGGACTCCCAGCAGCCTCCTGAGGAGGAAATAGGAGATCTCCAGCTCGGTGAAGATCTCCGGCAGCGCTCCGACGGCTCCCAGAACCTGACCCACCATCCGATCAGCTCGGCACAAAGTCGGGTCGATCTTCGTGCCCACACCTACACAGAGAGAGAGTTGTCTTAAACACTAGAACCCAGGAGAACCCAGGAGAACCCGAGGCCCGTCCCTCACCGATGAGACCTCCTGGAGCCGCGTACTGCAGGTCGTTGTGCTCCGCGAACAGAGAAACGATCTTAGAGAAGATGGGCTTGCACATCAGCTTCCCTTCATGGTCTTTAGAGACGATACCAGGCCGAACCTCGATCTCCTGACCCACCTGGAGGCCACACACACACACACACACACACACACACACACACACACACACACACACACACACACACACACACACACACACACACACACACACACACACACACACACACACACACGAGGTTTAGACAAAGCCTAAAACACCAGGAGCGTTTCTGTTCCGATCCTCACCTTCAGGACACCTTTCAGGATGCTCCCTCCGGCCACGCCTCCTTTCAGGTCGTCAACCTCACATCCAGGTTTGTTTACATCAAAAGATCTGATGACTGAAGCATAAAAACACGATAAATACATTCAAATCTCAAATAAAGAGCCGGCGCTGGTGTTCCTCACCGATGAGTCTGGGCTCGGAGATGAAGTCTCTGACGGGAACAGGAATCTTTTTGACGATGTACTCACAAACCACCTCAATGTTGTACTTCAGCTGTGCCGAGATGGGGATGATGGGAGCGCCTTCGGCCACCGTTCCTGCAGCGGAGGGTCAAAAACACCAGATCAGAGTTTCCTCAGAGTAATGTTGATTCATTAAAGACAAACTTCATTAGTCTGTTTCTACAGACGTTTCACTGAAGCTTGATTCCGGGAGTTCTGGTACCGGAGCGGACCGTTTGTTCTAGGGTTGTCACGGTGTGAAAATGTAACCTCACGGTTATTGTGACCAAAATTACCACGGTTTTCGGTATTATCGCGGTATTTTTTTTAAACGTGCTACATTTTCACACAACTAAATAAACCCTGTATATCAGGAAATATTGTCCTCAGTTTGTGTCTAAATTTTGCCTAAAATGTGTTATTTTGTAATTAAGTTGTTTATTTGTTTACATTTTTCCCCTTTAGTCTTTAAAATACCAATATTTGCCCATAACTTCTTATTTTATGTCTGTTTGATGTCATCATTTTAAAAATATTAGATCAGATGATACTCAGTACTCAAGTAGCCTTCTAGTCAGATACTTTTTTACCCTTACTTGAGTAATAAACCCTATATCAGGAGAATATCGTCCTCGGTTTGTGTCCTTCCAGTGAGCTTTGCAGATGTGGGAAAATGTCATCAGGCAGTAATCGTTGTTAAATTCATAATTATTCTCGGAGAGAGACCAACTCTTATCTGCCCCTGGGAGCCCCGTAATGCATAGCGTCATTTCAACATGGCGGTGTCCGCAACACGGTTTATATGCAGGTAGCGGCGCTGCGGCTGCTTTATATAGCTTGCCTTGCGTTGACTGTAGAGTTGTGGGTGATGGTCACGCAGATGTGTCATGAGATTTGAAGCGCTGCTGCCTTTCACAGACACTTTTTCTGCACGTGCTGCAAACAGGATAGCCGTCTGCTATCAGCTGTCCCTCGGCATTCTTCACATATCCAGAAGATGCCCGTACTTCCCACTTTGTCTTCTTTGAGGGATAATAAATGTCCTGAGCGCTGCAGTCTCCTCCTTTGACCATTATTTCAGCTTTAGCTTCAAGAATGTTTTGGTTGTAAACAACAAAGTGCGCATGTGCCGCCGGCAACTTCAGTAGATGATACGGTGGCTGGTAAGGGTCACCGCGCCTACACCGCAGCCACGGTAACCCACCGAGATGATAATAGTTTTTTAAAACAAGACGGTTATTATTATTGTCAACTTTTTTACCGGGGTTTACCGCTACACCGGTTACCGTGACAACCCTAATTTGGACTGACCCTGGACGAAGGCGAGGATCTGCTCGTACTGCTCCTTGGCCTGGCTCTCCTTCACCAGGTCGATCTTGTTCTGGAGGATCAGGATGTGCTTCAGCTTCATGATCTCGATGGCCGCCAGATGCTCGGACGTCTGAGGCTGAGGACATGACTCGTTCCCCGCTGGACACACACACGAGCAGAGAGGCGGTTCTACGTGAAGTTCTGAAGCTTCTCATGACCCAGTTTAGATGACTCAGACGCCATCAGAACACCTCTAGTGAAATAAAACCCAGCAGACTCACCAATGAGCAGCAGAGCGGCGTCCATGACAGCGGCGCCGTTCAACATGGTGGCCATCAGGATGTCGTGACCAGGACAGTCCACAAAGGACACGTGTCTGTTGGACAGAAGACCAAAGACTTTATAAACACGACCTTCTGGGTTGGTCTGAGGGAATCGGATCGTCGTTCTACATTTATGTTGACAGAGGTGTTTTTGTTCTGCTTGTTCCTCCCGACCGACTCGGATCTCTGGGAGCGCAGGTTAGGAACCACTGAGTGAGAGACAGCGCCACGCTTACCGGACCAGTTTAAAGTTCCCTTTGGTTCCGGAGAGGTCCGTGGAGAACTCGTCAGGAGTGCTGCTGCCACACGACCTGTAGCACTCGGGCCGGGGGCAGCTGGGGTCGTCCAGCTTGTAGATCTGCAGCCACAGGAAACAATCAGAATGACAAGGTTCCAACAGAACCGTCTACAGGAAGATGAATCATCAGCTCTCAGGATTTCAAAATAAAGCAGATTTAACTCTCCTTTATTCAATGATGCCGTTAATGAGGAAATAAAGACCCAGAACGCCCCCTGAGAGCTTTTCCCAGAGGATTCTCCCGGATCCATCCTCGCTGCACAGGAACCGCTCACCTTAGCGTTAGCATATCCTAGCTTGATGGTGATGTTCCTCTCCAGCTCGTTCTTGAACCTGACGGTATGAACGCCAGAAATAGCCTTCACTACTGTGGACTTCCCATGGGCCACATGACCGATGGTGCCTGAGAGTCAGAACAGAGTCAGAACCGAGTCAGAACCGCTTTAAACCCGCAGAGAAACAAAAACAACAGAAGGCACACCGGCCTCGTACCGATGTTGATGGTGGCCTGTCTGCTGATGATCTCTGGAGAGAGAGGCGTCAGGGTGGACACGTCCTGCCGAAAGAAAACACCCAGATCTGACAAAACGTACAAAATAACACAGATTAACTGAGCCAAGCGGCGTCTCTGGGGTTAATCCTGCAGATTATCAGGAACAAAGACGAGCCTAACCCTAACCCATCACAGCAGCCTGGGACAAGGTCCGTAATCAGAGAAAATGAGCTCCAGGTCTGACCAGGACCACGCGTTAGACCATCAGAAAGGACGAGCAGCTTCCTGCTTCCTCAGCAGAATAAAACCTCCAAAGAAAAAACTAATAATTAATTAAGGATGTTAGAGATTATTCCTGAAAGACTGATGGATGAAACTAGAGTTTGGAACAAGATGCAGCAGAAATAACAGGAATGTGTTATCATGAGTTTATTGCAGTCACATCTGGAAAAGCATGGTGGATTCCTGTAACATCTAAAGGTTTAAACAGTTTTAGATTAATAACGTTTTTATTTGTCTTCTTCTGGACTGGAACAGGAAGTCGTTACCTAACTTCTACCTAATAGATATGATCTTTAATCCCATCCCCACCATAATAACCCTGTTATTAAAGGTTTATGACACCGCCTTCATCACTGAAGTGTCACAATAACATCACCCAGAAATACGTCACCAAAATTACTTCCTGACAGTTAATATTGAAGCTAATTTTTGAGCTTAACAGTCGCAAACACAAAATAGCGACAATTTAGAAACACGTGAACGCCTAAATCGCTTTAAAGAACCTGGAGGCTCCGCTCGTGCTTTAGGAACTCTCCACCCCGCCGGGCCTGCCGTCATGTGCCGGGTGAAGGCAGCGCAGCCCCGGCCACCGCTCACCGCACAATTTCCCCCCGTTAACGGATTGCTTTCGGTTAAACGACGGGCTGCCAGCCTGAAACGTGAACTCAGGGGTGTGTAGAAACCGCTGAAACGAGACTCACCAGAGAGCTGAGGTCTTGTTTGGCCAGATGAGGCTGACCCAGCGTTGTTCCAGACTCATCACCCGCCATCTTCGCTGGAAAGGGAATGAAAGAGGCAGCCCCGCCGAATGCCTGATCAATTTACCAAACCGTTTCTTTGAGAAAAAAAAAAAAAAACGTTTTACTCTGATCAAAATCAAACAAAAACTGTAACTTTAACAAAAAACGTGTAAATTATGTCCACTTTCATTTATATACATATATATTTAAAAATATCTCGTATGATTTCTCTGACTGAAAGAAAAACGGGTCCTTTCTCAAATGCTGATGCAATTTATCACGTTCGTAAAAGAACAATTTATTATATCATTACTCGTTATAACCAATAAATAAATAGTTTAGATTTTTTTGCTACTGAACACAAAACTTGGTTTAATTAACGTCAATTTAAAAATAAGCCTAGATAAATAATTAGTGCCAGGCCGTCGTTAAAATATGACATCATCAAATACTGTTTGTAGTCTTCTTAACAAGTTTGTAGTTTTTGAAAACTTATGTAAAAATATTTATGTGGACATCTAAATCTAAATGTGACATTTTTTAATTAGCTGTCTACACCTGCAGTCTGAATGGGCATATATTGATTCTAAATAATTTTATTTACATTTGTGTATAAACTTAACTCCAGGTCTCTGATGAACCTACATGTGGTGAAACATACATATCATATATTAATATATGATATCTATGTGGTGAAATACCTCTTGTATCAATTAGCTTATTTTAAATGTGTAATAAAATGCGATCCGTTATATTGATATATTTATATCATCTAAAAAGTAAGACGTGCACAACAAAACAAACAACTCAGTACAGTTATATTGTTTGCTGTTGTTTTTTAGACTGCAGTGATCCATCTTGTCTCATGTACACTCTTTGACTGTCCGCTCTCCCGCCGCCCTTCAGTTCCGTCATGAAGGGAAATTACGTCGGTGCAGAAGATGGTGTCTGTAAATCCTGTGGACCGCTGCGGCTCGGCACCCGTCTAATTTGGAGCCGTGTGGGGGGTATCTCCGTCTGGCTGATGGATTACAGAGAAAGTGTGGCCATGCGGCGCTGCCGTCCGCTCTCTTGACCGCGGAATCGAACCCGTAACTTCATGTCTGACGGAGCCAGAGCTGCCTGGACGAAGAGGGGTTGTGGGGATTCGCACCGCCGAGGTGAGACGGTTGGATTTAGCCGCTAAGCTAAAGCTGTTCCCCGGTCACCGCAGCCTGCTTGCAGCTAATTTAACCACAGAGACGTAATTAACACGTTTAACGTCAACGCTTCCACCCCAGAGGCAGAATAAAGCCTCCGGCTTTAGCCGGATGTGAGAGCAGAGTCAGAGCCGCTGAGTGGAGCCTTTGTTTGGAGCTCGAGTTAAAAACCTCCTCCCCTGTGGTGGAGGTACACCAAAGAGGATAAACACACCTGCTCAGGTGTGTTAGCCTTCAGCTCCAGTCTCAGACACACATCCGAGCCTGCTGCTGTTCTGGGGACAGCCGTGATGAATCTGGCTCTCAGGCTCTAACTACAGCAGTTCCTGACACGTTTAACTCACCTGTCCGTCTCCTCGCACCTCAGACAGGCTTTCACCTGGAGACCAGTATTATTCCGCACATTATTTATCATCAGAGGAATAAATTGAAGTTAACCCAAAACTATAAATCATGGAGAAGTTTTCTGCTCAGACGCTTTGGAGGAACTAAGAGCAGCAGCGTGTTTACATAAATATTGTTATTATCATATTTTCAGATGGTTCAGATGCGCAGACCTGGAAACACGTGACCACAACAGTCCACCTGACACAAAAAATCTAATTTTCTTCCTTTCTTAAATTGGGTCCTTGAACGCACCACTGCTTCATGCTAATTAATCTGAGCTCACTTTGTGAACGGTCCATGGTCCTCCCTTCTTGAATTATCTATCAGGTTTTCAGTTTTTAACAATATTTCATTTTTGCTGATTTTTGTTTCACACAAATCTTAATAAATCAGTCTTATCAGGTCAGAGCTGCGCAGAAAAACCCTAAACTGGTATCGGTTCTGCAAGCTGCATCGGTGCTGCTCTTATAGAGAACAGTCAGGCATTTAAAACTCATTATTGTGACTTGGTTATGAGTTTAAAGTCAGAAGAACTGAAACATTTATAATCACGACTGAAACGAGTTCCCAGACCCAACAAACGTTAAAAATCACTTTAATTTCTCAAACTGCTTTTAAATATTCATGCTTAATGAGATCCTGTTGTTTGACAGTTTTAAATACCTGCAGGGTTTGTTGTTGTTTCTGTGTGGATCAGCTGATCTGACCCTGATGCTGCTGTTCTGTGTGTTCTGTTAGAACCGGGGAAACATAAACACAGGAAATGCGAGCGGCCCCTTAGCGCTCAGACGTCACAGCCTGTGATCGCTGGCCCGGGCTCCAAAAGGTACGACGCTGCTCTCCGTCTCAATTCCACACAAATAATCTCCTTCCTGGTGGCTTTAATCTGGGGTTTCAGCCTTTTTTATTCAACCTTAAAGAGCAAGTCACCCCCAAATCTACTGTTTTTTGCCGATAAACTAAATAAACGAGTGTCTAATCGTGCTGCAGACACGTGTCATCAATAGTTTGGCACTTCAGTGCATCTTAGTTAAAATTTAAATATTCTGCCTAAAACTGGCAGTGTTGTGCCGTTGTCAGGTAAAAACTCTGCACTGTATTTGAATTTAAATCTGCCACTGCTATTGGCTAAGAGGTATGCTATGATGAGAAACTAGTACATTATGATGTCACAATGCTGTCGTGAGTCTGTGTGTGTGTGTTTGTTAGCGGCTCCGCCCTCTCGGTCTGCCAGGCAACAGCATGTGTTGCATTTTTCAAACAGGAAGTGGGAGTGGAGTTAGGCTCTGGTAGGGGGTGACTTGCTCTTTAAGAACTGTTTTTGTGTTTTCTAAACATAAAAGTAAATCTGGATGCTTTACAGCAAAATCCTGGCTTAATCTGCGGGGTTCACAAATGACCGACCTACAATAAAACCCCCTCAGACCCAAATATTTACTGATTTAGACACAAAAACATTAATATAGTAATTTTCATAATTAACGTTTTTAATAAATATTTTACAGAAAACGTTGAAATTTGAGGAAAAGTTGAAGCTCCTTAATCAGATTTATTTATTTATTATTTTTTACAGTTTGTAGGTTTCATGACCCGCAGCGCAGGCCCGACCCAAACAAGGAGAACTGTTGTGTTAAACGATCAATGTTTATTGTGTTTTTAATTATTAACGGAGATAAATGTGCAGCAAAGACGGAACAAACTTACTGGCATTCACCTGCTTCTTCATCAACATCCCAGAGTTCAAACTTCCTGGTTCTGTTGGTACCGCTGGTTCTGATCTGGATCATGTTCAGTTAAAACTTCAGATCGTCACCATCCGTGATTTTGTTTTTATTCTAACAGAAGCTGTATTAGCAGTCAATGGTGAGTCGGGCCACCTTTAGCAGAACTCGTGTTTCCTCATCGACATAAATACGGTTCCCACCAACCCTTTAAACTTTATTGGAACTGGTTCTTAAACAAAAACATTTTCAGAATTTTATTCTAAGGAGACGTAATTACTTTTATTCTGTGAGCTTAAAGAGCAAGTCACCCCCTACCAGATTCTTACTCCACTCCCACTTCCTGTTTGAAAAATGCAACAAAGGCTGTAGCATAGCATACCGAGAGGGCGGAGCCGCTAACAAATACACACACAACATTGTGACATCATAATGTACCATCTAACATCATAGAGTACCTCTTAGCCAATAGCGATGGCAGATTTAAATTCAATGCAGTGCAGAGTTTTTACCTGACGACGGTGCAACGTTGACCGTTTTAGGCAGAATATTTAAACTTGAGCTAAGATGCTCTAAAGTGTCGACTGCACATGTCTACAGCACGACCAGACACTCGTTTATTTAGTTTATGAGCAAAAAAAGTTGATTTGGAGTGACTTGCTCTTTAAAGGGACGGTTCCGATTTTTCTGTTGAAAAAAAACAAACAAACAACCAATATCTCACGTCTGGGAGCAGCATCAGTTTGGAGAAACAGATTATTTGTGGCTGGATTGATGAGCTAACGGCTAGTTAGGCAAGGCAGAGAACCAGGTGTTTCTGCTGCATTTAAACAAGTTTAATCTAAACAGCTTTACAGCGTTAGCCACTGTTAGCATCTTTGCTTTAAGAGCAGCTAGCTGTAGCACTTCCTGTGTGTGTGTGTGTGTGGGGGGGGGGGGGGGTAGTTGCCGTATTACTGATATGTTTGAGCCTTAAGACAACAGCGCTGAGCACCTGCTGGGACTAGCAGTTAGCTTATCAATCTAGTCAAAAAGAATCTGTATTTCTCCAACCTGAAGCTGTTCAGCCTGTTTTCCTCTTAGTTAATTTTTTATTTTCTGTAGATTTAATCCCTGAAAAAAAAACTTTGTGTTTTAATTTGGTGATAAAATCAGAATCTGGAGGAATTGCTTCCCGATGACGTCGTGTGCTATCCTATAATCGATCCCTCGTTGTACCTCTGGTTTCCATGGTGACATCAGGACGCCGCTGCTTCTTTCTGACCTGTTGTATGAAGTCGCGGCCGAGCACCTGCTCACCTGTGGCACACGTGTGTGCAGGTGCTCGGCCGTGTAGTCTGGTGAGGGTGGAGGTGTTTAACGTTTGTTGGCTCTGTCGTTCAGGTGATTGACGCTCAGAAAAGGGACTTTGTTAGCATCAGCTGGACACAAGGGGCACTGTCCTCTGATTGGCTCGGACAACCCACTCTGACATGCCCGTGGCCAATCAGAGGTGAGTGGGTGTTTGTGTGTGTGTCTGGTTCAGCTTAGATGTCCCTCTAGCTCCTGCCGCTCACACACTTCAGACTGTTGTAACATCATGACTTCCTCTCTCTCTGTGAATGACTTCCTGCTCCGCCAACTTCTTCAGGTGTGTTATGTCGGGGGCGGATGTGGAGGTGTACCTGTCCCAGGTGCATGATGGGAGCGTGTCGTCAGGCTTTCGAGCGCTGTACGAGGAGCGTCTGCTGCTGGATGTCACCTTGCTGATAGAGGAGCACCACTTCCAGGTAGACCAGGAGCTCCTCCCCCTGGTCCCAGACCACCTCCAGGTGGGAGAAGACTATCAGGAATGATTTATGCTGCTGGTGTCTCCTCCTGCAGGCCCACAAGGCACTGCTGGCCACCCAGAGCGACTACTTCCGGGTCATGTTCACAGCAGACATGAGGGAGCGGGACCAGGATAAGATCCACATGAAGGGGCTGACGGCCGCCGGGTTCGGACACATCCTCAGATTCATGTACTACGGCTCCCTGGAGCTCAGCATGCCCACCATCCAGGAGATCCTGCAGGTACCAGACAGCCACCCCTCTTCTCCAGGCTGACGCTTACGGAAAACTCCGATGTGATCTGGAATCTGCTCCTGACTCCACAGGCGGCCATGTACGTCCAGCTGACGGAGGTGGTGGAGTTCTGCTGCTCCTTCCTGCTGGCTAAGATCTGCCTGGAGAACTGCGCAGAGGTCATGCGTCTCCTGGAGGACTTCAGCGTGGGCGTGGAGGGTGTCCAGGAGCAGCTGGACAACTTCCTTCTGGAGAACTTTGTCCCCCTGATGAGCCGACCCGACTTCTTGTCCTACCTCAGCCTCGAGAGACTCCAGGTTCCTCTGACTCACACATCTAGTCACCGTTAACGGGGAACGTTTTCCTACAGAACACCTGAGACAGGATAGACTGTCCACCGTGTCTCCTTTTAACTCCGCCCCCTCTATCTGGTCCAGGCGCACCTGAACAGCGATGCTCTGAGTCGGTACCCAGAGATCGAGCTCTACGAAGCCGTCCAGGCGTGGCTGAGACACGACCGGCGCCGCTGGAGACACACGGACGTCATCGTCCAGTCTGTCCGCTTCTGCCTCATGACGCCTGCAGACATCTTTGAGAAGGTTGGTCTTGCTGGAGGACACTCGGTCCAGAAGCTCCATTCAGTCCTGCTTCTGCGGGTTTGGGCTCAGATAAATGTCCCACCGCGCACCTGTACAGGTGTGCTCTTAACGAGTCTGAAGGTGTTCTGTGATCCCCTCAGGTGAAAACGTCGGAGTTCTACCGTTACTCCAGGCAGCTGAGGCAGGACGTGGATCAGGCGCTCAGCTACTTCCATGATGTCAACCAGCAGCCTCTGGTGGAGACCAGATCCAACCGGATCCGCTCCGTCCGCCCGCAGACCGCCGTCTTCAGGGGAATGATCGGCCATAGCATGGTGAACAGCAAGATCCTGCTGCTGCAGTGTCCAAAGGTGCTCCGCCTTCAGCCCACGGCTCCGAGCGCGTCCGCCCGGCTGGACCCGGCTGTCCCCGGTCCACCTGATGCTGTTCTGCTGTGTTTCAGGTGTGGTGGGAGCTGGAAGGCCCCCAGGTGCCGCTCCGGCCGGACTGCCTCGCCATCGTTAATAACTTTGCCTTCCTGCTGGGCGGAGAGGAGCTCGGACCCGATGGAGAGTTCCACGCCTCGTCTAAAGTCTACCGCTACGACCCTCGGCAGAACTCGTGGCTGCGCATGGCGGACATGTCTGTGCCCAGGTCAGAGGAGGCGGAGCCTCTGCCCTGTTGGGTCTAGGACTCCTCGCTGGCTTTTATCTGAAGATGCTTTTGTTTTTGCAGGTCAGAGTTCGCCGTGGGCGTCATCGGGAAGTTTATTTACGCCGTGGCGGGCCGAACGCGTGACGAGACGTTCTACTCTACGGAGCGGTACGACATCACGGAGGACCGCTGGGAGTTTGTCGATCCGTATCCCGTCAACAAGTACGGCCACGAGGGCACAGTGCTCAACGGGAAGCTGTACATCACGGGCGGCATCACCTCCTCCTCCACCTCCAAACAGGTGTGTGTGTTCGACCCAGGGCGGGAGGCGGGCCCTGGCGGGTCGGACTCACACAGGACGCGCGCCGGCCGAGGACCGCTGCTGCCTGGCACGCACGCCAGCTGCTGGGAGAACAAATCCAAAATGAACTACGCACGCTGCTTCCACAAGATGATCTCCCACAACGGGAAGCTGTACGTGTTCGGAGGCGTGTGTGTCATCCTGCGGGCGTCGTTCGAGTCACAGGGCTGCCCGTCCACCGAGGTGTACGACCCGGAGACGGACGAGTGGACCATCCTGGCCTCCATGCCCATCGGGCGCAGCGGCCACGGGGTGGCGGTGTTGGACAGGCAGATCATGGTGCTGGGAGGCTTGTGCTACAACGGCCACTACAGTGACTCCATCCTCACCTTTGACCCCGACGAGAACAAGTGGAAGGAGGACGAGTATCCCAGGATGCCTTGCAAACTGGACGGTCTGCAGGTGTGCAGCTTGCACTTCCCAGAGTACGTGCTGGAGCACGTGAGACGCTGCAGCTGAGGTCCGCTTCACCGCGCCTCCTTTTCTAGAAACTGGACCGTTACAGGACGGAAGCATCCCGCTCAGAGGGGGCGGGGCCAGCTGTGTGGGCGGGGGGGGGGGGGGGGGTCACTGATAACCAAGCTTTTAAACTAGAGACCAGCATTTACCTGAAACAGGTGAGAAGAGACAGCCGGGGCCGGAGAGGCGCTCCTCCCGGCTTCATGGTCCCGTTATTCCCTTTCCCAGAAAACTTTAGGAAGAACAAATCCCACCTCTGTGATTTTACAAAGGTTCCGGACCGCGTTCTCACCGGTCCTGTCGGGTCGGATCTGTCAGAATCTCTGCAGGACCGCTCTGGAAGCGTCACAGAGGCGCTTCACCCAATCCCACAAATCTGACCGGAAGTTTCTAACTGAGTTAGTGGGAATGATAGTTGAGCAGGTGTTTATGCTGTAATTTAACCGTCACCAGTCGGAAAACAGAACTCCGGTTTGTCACCAGCTCAGAAATCCATCTGGTTCTGCTTCCAGAGCGGTCCTGCTTCCAGTCCAAACCCGCTCCTGCTTCCAGATCTCCTCATTCCGAGCTCATGTCCATTACACTGCTCCACCCCCACCCCCATCTTCTGTAAACCACGTTTATGAGGAACGCAACTCCCAAGATTTCACGATTCCATCATTAATCCTGATGATGGAATTCCGGGTTGGGAGGGAAGGGAGATCTCTGCTCTGCCCGTCCACATTCCTGCACTTTATCCGTTGTTTTTGTGAGTCTTATCCTCGCTGGAGTCGCGTCTAAAATGAACTCTCGCTGACGAGTCCAGGTGTCGTTACCGTGGAAACCAGCAAAGGTTCAAACCAGGGGTGTCCAAACTACCCTAACCCCAAATCACCGTGGTAACCGTCCTACCTGCTCAGCAACACGTTAAACACCCGACTGTTCCGTAAACAACATTATATTTAAAAAGTAAAAGTCAGTAAATCTGAAGCTGAGAGGCTCTAATGTCTGACTTTAGTAAAGGTCACTGCGGGTTAGACGCACACGCACCGACACACCTTTTGTTCTCCGACTTCTCCGTCTCCTGAGGAGCGTTGCAAAGCAATTCCCCGCCAGGACAGCAGAGGGCGTAGCGCTGTTCTGAGGTATCCGATCCACAGTGGTGTATTTACTAAGGTGTTGACATAATTCTTTATATTAATTTGTCCTTCACTCGCCTCCACCACTAAACACACGTTTCTGGTCATTTCCGTCCACGAATAAAACACTTGCTCCGTATTTTTGTAATCCTCCAGTCACAAGTGAATAAACGTTCATATTTTTGGACTTTTTCTGCGCTGAGTTCTTCAATCTGTTCTTGGGGTGTTTCTCAGTGTCAAGGCGCCTGGCCTGGCGAGGCGATGTCTTTCGAGGCCGGGCGCCTTGCTTACGAGGACACGGTCCTTCCTTGATCAAAGAAAACGGTTAAATGGAACAGACTTGCATCACGTGACCGCGGCTTCCACGGCGGTAACATAACGTCACGTGAAACGGGAGATAACGTTATATTTTATACGTATTAGTTTCAATATAAATATGTAATGAGCCTTGTACTTTTTAAATTGTGTAAATGTTTATTAAATTAAAAATATAAGTGAGTTACTACCCGCTAGCCACCGAAGCTGCAGCTACTAAGCTACTAACCAACCATAGATAACTTCTTTGGATCTAAAATAAACATTTTAAATTAGCTGACTTACTTTTAAACTTGAAAATTGTCCCCGAAGTAGCTGCCGGCTTCTGATCTGCCGTCCTTTTGAAAATACTGCAGTGTATTCTGGGTAATTTTTGACCAAGGCTAGACTACAAGACACCTCCCGTGTATCCTTGCTCAGCTAGCTAAACGGCTAACAAACGGAGAACACACGCCTCGGTAGAACATGAACATTGGAACACATCTTGGCGGCTCCTGATGATGTATCTCCTAGGCAACCGGGGCGGGGCCAAGACATCAAGGCGAGGTTCCTTGGCACTGAGAATCACCCACAGTCTACCGCAAAATATCGTTTTACTTTTTGACGAAGCAACGGCGGTGCTGTTGACAAGTTTTAAGAAAGTGGCCTCCTGTCCAATCACAAGCTTGCAGTATCTGTCACTTTCGATGGATATTTAAAAAGTGCGTGTCTCCGTTACCCTCTGTGAGTCCGTCGGAGAGCCCTTGCGCCGACACATAATGACGTTCTAAATACCGACGGAAACGGAGAAGTAAATCAGACTTAACCGGGTTAACAAAAGTCCTTCCAAGATTTCTGTATTTGTTGTTTAACCTCGTGAATAAACACCAGGGAAAAAAAAAGCCAAGGTAACCTAAATTCTGCTGTCCAGGGCCATTAACAGCCTCTGCCCCACATTTTGGACACCTTTGGTTTCATGGTTTGGACACACGCAAAGACATTTGTTTGTGTTTTCAGATATGAAAATAAAAGCTGCAGAAACACCAAACAGTGAGAAGAAGCCAATGTTTTACCTGCTGAGATCAAACTAGTTAAACTAGTTAGCGTTAGCATTAACCAGAGGGTCGTTCATGAGTTATTCTAGCTGCTAACTTGTTCATTTATATGAAATGACAAACCAAAGAACCAAAATGTTTGCCATTTTCTCTAAAGGGTAAATTTTACTGAAGCGAAATAAGCTAGCTGCTGTTAGCCTTTAGCTCAGAGTTAGCTAGCATTCTACTGAAAACATAAAATTATTATAAAACACAAATAAGTAGATTAAATATAATAAAACCACAGGTGAGAGGTCCTAGAGATTAGTGAAATGTTCTTTAAACTAATATTAAACAATTATTTAAATTTTAGATTTGGTTAGCTCAGAAAACAAAAGGGAACTAAAGTTAGCCACGGCTAATTAGCTTTCTGCTAGCTGCCTTTTTCATGTAAACTTCGGGTCACTCATGCTTTATTTCTTTTTCATGTAAATGTTGTTGTTTTTTTACCAGTCAACTCGTTTCTGTGATGAATGTTTGTTTATTTATTTAGTGGAAAACGAAGGTGAATCAGAAAAACAAAATCCTTCGTTGGTTTTGGTGCCAAAACGTCAGAAACCCAGACGGGAAATGTTGTTTATTTGTAGTTTTTATTTCGTGTCGCATTTAAATCCGCCGTCATTCAGATGAAGGAACCCAACAGTGTTTTCTTTAGGATGTTTTTGTTTGAGGCCCGACAGTAACTTAGCCCGACCCAACCAGCTGACGGCCATGTTGATTTCTGACACTGATCAGAACCAGTCGTTCTGCTAAATCGGACCCAGGTCCGGCCCATGGCCCGCCCGCTCCCTTCTGTTTTATGTACTTTTATTTGTCTTGAGCCAACTGTGAAAGGGCTAGAGCGCACACTGATGCACTTCTGTTTGCCAGCTGCGTATTTAAGTTATTTATTTTCGGACCTAGTGCTTTTTCACTCAGCTATGCAGTAACAGTTGTAGGGTTATTTACTGTTGTTTCATGTCGTCTCCATCCCAGCGTCAGCTGTCTGCCTGTCCTCCTCCGGCTTGTGTGGCTGAAGGGTCGCAGACGTCAGCAGGTTGGAAACCAAACGGAGTTTAAATCCATCCTTCACTCTTAACCTGTACATTTGCCTGGATGCAAACTATAAATATGTCAAGAAATAAACAGTAAACAAGCTTTTTATTCCAATCATTTCAGGTCAGCCTATTTTATGTTATACATTAAAAACAACGATCTTTATGAAATTCGACACGTTTCAATCAGTAATAATAAAGAAAACTCGTTATTCTTGCTAAACTTAGTCTTTGTTTTCCTCACACACCCATCGTGGGACACAGTCCTCACCGTCCCTTCATGCCTCCTCCCAACCGCTCGATGCTCCTCTGACGTTGCTGTTTGAACAATAAATAATAAAGTACTGCTGTCCTCATCAGTCATAGCAGCATCCTTTAGTCCGCCCGTCTGTCCGTAGGAAACGAGAATAGAGGATCTTTAAAAATCACTCGCTTTAACGACTGCATCCAGAAAACAACCGAACCAGAACAACATATCATACAATCCAAGTAGAAACTCTTTGGAAACAATTTGTAACTTCTTTCCAGAAATAAATGTTCATATTGGTCAACTTTGAGCTGTCGGTGTGTTTTCTGACTTCTGTTTCACCTCAAAAATCACAAACATAAACCTAAAAAGTGTTTTCTCCACAAACTCATAACTCGAGCAGAAACTACAGACATGTTCATAATCCCTAAGTAGGAGCAATTTGGATTATTTTTTACAAACTCTTGAAAGGTTTAGTTTGGACCCAAGCTTTAAATGACAAATGCGCTTTGGTCAGCTGTAATCAGTGTTGGGAAAGTTACTTTAAAAAAGTAATTAGTTATAGTTACTGATTACTTTGTCAAAAAAAAACTCAGTTACTGAGTTACAAGATTATAAAAGTAACTAATTACCAAGAAAAATAACTACCTAGTTACTTTTTTCATTAAAGCATGCAAGAATTACTACAATAGTGAAATATAAATGACTAATGACTGGAACATAATAAAATGTACGTCCAAATGTTTTTTATAAACCTGAATAATTTCAATAAATAAGCACTTAACAGGAGGAACTACTAATAGGAACATTACACTTATCTAGACTATTAAAAGGTCACTGTGTGATATTTAACAAGACCCCAATCAGCTAAAATTTAAAATTTGCAAATAGAAACACCTGTAAAGGTTCCCGAGCCTTTAAATGGTCTCTCAGTCTAGTTAAATTACAGAAATGAATGTAATTTTGCACAGTATTCTAATTTTTCCAGATTCACATAATTGTGTGTTTTTAGCAGCATTTCTGTTGCTGCTAATCTAGTAACGGTTAAATAAATAAATAAAACCTTTAAAATGACACTAGAAGAGGCACAAGCCTGATGGAGGACTTACATTTACTAACATGGGTCAGACCCAACCACAGAAGAGCTGAAGCTGGGTGGTAAACACACACAGGTAGTTCTGATAACACCTGAGCTCCATGACGTCTGAGACTGATGCATCAGTGTTACAGCGGGACTAAAGACATGATCAGAAACAGGTTACAGCTGGATGATCTAGGAAGGTAGAAGATCAGGACGTCTGAGCGGTGAACAGGTGAGCGGACCTTCGGGACGTCCCGCTGTCATGCTAAGAAGGGCACGGCTGCAGATCCACACCTGCAGCCGTAGATATTCATCACGTCTACCTCGTTCTTCACGGCCGTGATGCTCTTGGATGAAAACATCTGCCTCTTTAGCTCCTGATCAGCTGATGACAGCTTCAACACACCGCGCTGCTTAACGCACGCATTTCCTGATCAGTAACAGAAACGAGGTTTTGATGAAAGAAGACGGTAATTAATTAGTTTTCTCGTTACAGAAAGAAATATTTTTTTTTATTAACGTGGTTATTTTAAACGGCGTTATTCCCATCACTGCTCTGTTGTGTCTACAGCAGCAGCGACTGAGACGGTGAGGGTCTCCGCCCACCCGGCCATCATCATCGTGTTTGTAAGCGCGTTACCGACACCTCTCTCTCCCTGGCTGCAGCTGAAGTGTGGCGGTCAGAAAGCCTCTGTTGCTCAACATTCGACAAGCACATAGTAACGCACAACCTTCCGTCCCCAGTAACGGTAACGGCGTTGCAACAGTGGGAAAAGTCATTAATTAGATTGTTCTGTTACCTAAAAGAGAACGCCGTTGGTAACGCCGTTACATTTAAACGGCGTTACTCCCAACACTGGCTGTAATGCTGTGTTACCTTAAATAAAATATATAGTAAATGATCCACACTTGTGAGTAAGAGGACTCCAAAGCACTTTATAATATGTTCATACGTTCACACCCTGGGGATGAGCTACAATGTAGCCACAGCTGCCCTGGGGCCCACTGACAGGTGAGGTTGCTGAAAAAAGGTGCTGCCAGTGCCTCTGACCACCACCAGCAGGTCAGGTGGGGTAAGTGTGTTGTCCTCAACCTCATTTGCTGGATAACCTGCTCTACCTCCTGAGCTACTGCGGCCCCTTAACCCCTTAAGCCGACCCTGTGACCCAAAACAACCCCCACACTACAGAAGAAATAGTAATAATTCCCATCAAATTGATCAGCAAACCCAACACTAAAAGGCTATCTGAACTATTTTTACCATTAAATACCATTTTTACCATTTTTTGAGGAATAGGCTTCAAAATAGGCCTAAGGCTTAGGTGAGAGGGAAACAATTCCAGAGTCCAGTCTGCTGGTTTTCTGCAGAAATGGTCAAATTCAGACTAAAATTAGAGACTTGGCCTTTGAAATTTGAGTAAAGAGCAAGAAATTGTATCTTGAATTTGTGATTGGTTTCCTTTATTTACTCAAAAATGTTTGTTCACAGAATTTGATGGCCAACGAAACAACAACTAAGAAATATTAATTAGCCTGCATGTTCAGACTCTTTTTATGGAGAGCCTATTTTATGTTATACATTAAAAACAACGATCTTTATGAAATTAGACACGTTTCAATTAGTAATATTAAATTTAATCGTGCTTTTATTTTGGTGGTTTTATTTGACGAGCGCGAGCGTCTTCAGTGTTTTTGCTGCCCGGCTTTCCGTAGAAAAGCGAAAGTCCTCTGATGTCGATGCCTCTGACTGAAAATGCCTTATACAAAACTGGTAACAACGAATACGATTTTTTCCCACAAACATCAAAATAATTTTAAAAATTGCTTTTCTGGTTTGGCATACTGTATGTGTTGAAAATCTACGTCGTAGATTTAGTTTTATGCCGTTACTTTAGTCATCCCGTCTGAACTTAGCGTCCTGCTGCTAGCAGGAGTAGCTTAGCGTTTAGCTTTAATGGCTTGTATGCTAGCTGCTTCCTGTTCTGTTTAATATCACAATATTAACGAGAAGTGGTTAAAATTTAATGGCTTCTCGAATCGTTATTGTTGAGTTTAGTGTTTGAATTAGTGATTAAATGTGTAATCGAAGGCGTGTTTGTTGCGTGGTCGTCCACCAGGTGTCGCTGTGCGCCGTGGCTCCGGGAGTCGCAGCCCTGGCGAGCGGCTCGGAGCTGGCTGCCGGTGAGGCGAAAAAGAAGAGCCAACAGTCCGCCCTGAGCATCGATGAGGTCGGGTTAGGGGTCTGTGAAGACCCGCTGGGGACTACATGGTCCAACACTTAAATTATTGGTTCTATTTTATGAATTTGACCTTTTCTTAGCCCTCATGCATTTTAGGTATAATTATTCTGGTTGTGTTGATGCTTTTTCTAATGAAAACAATCTAATTACATTTTATTACATCACATTTGTTAATAACGTTTTCTATATTAATACATTGGAGAACTGAAACAAAACCATGTAGATGACATCACTGAGAAAAGCATCTTTTTACAAAGAGCTGCTATAAAAATAAATAAATTTTAATTTTCTTTCTGATAAATCTGAACTAAAATCCTGCCGAAAACAGTCATTTAGAATTTATGCCAGTTTAATTAACCAATGACAATATTTATTATGAAATAACAAAAAAGTTATTTGTTATTAAAGAAATTTATTTTTAATCAAACTTGAAATGTTGACCTTCAATTTTTAGCTTTTTTATTGCATCGGTTCTTAAATTTCCTACCGCTTTAGGTCATTAGAGAACACAAATGTTCCATTCTAGCTACACGTGATGTTAAAGTTTCCTTTTCAGGAAAATCGTAACATTATTTTTTTATTTTTCACCCTCGTCTGTCTGTCTATCCATCTGTCTGCCTCAGCTGCCGTCTCTGTACACCAGACCAGACCCAAAGCCTCTGCGCGTGGAACCAGAGGCAGGGCAGCTGGAGCAGAGCGTCACATGGCTCAGGAAACGGGCCGAACCGTACACCAGCCAGTGTCTGGTAGGTCAACTCAAGCAGTTTCGGTCTGATCATCGTGTCAGAGAACGGTGAACATTAAGAGGAAAACCTCACTGAGTCTGATTCATTTCTCTGATGAGCGAGAAAAGAGATGAATACTTTTGTGGAGATGCACCAAAAATCTTCAGCGTGATCAGACCGACTGCTGTCACTGCTGTAAAACTCAAAAGTCTGAGTAAAAAAAGATATTTTGGGTTCTTGAATAAACGCTGATCTTCTGACTAAAATGGTTCCATTAATAATAATTCCAGAGCTGTTTGGGGATTAGAAATTGGTATCGGCTGTAGAACCAGAATCGGTCCTTCTCTCAAAACTTTTTTCTCCTGCAGCTTTTTGAAAACGAGTCGTTTTGTCCTGTTTGCTGGTTTCATGTGTGACCCTAATCCCAGCACTTATTCTTACCTCCCAGATTAAATGACGAAGCATTTCTGAACAAAACAAACTCTAATTGCATGTTAGTTCAGTGTGATTGCTGGTTTTCTGTCTCAGATTATAATTATAGTTTTCTGTTAGGTTTGTGAGGAATCTCTAATCCAGCAGGATTAAATGTCCCTCTGACTCGTTGGCTCCTGCTGCCGTTCACCTTTTGTTGGATTAGTCTGGTGTTAATAGATTAAAACGACCTGTTGTGGTTTGTTTTTGTGCTTCTTGCAGCAAACGCTCCAGGCTGCAGCAGAGAAAGCTGAGGTGAGTAAAATATTATCTTAATGTCAGATTATTAACTGTTGGACTCAACAAAGACAGAAGCATTTAGTAAACCTTTCATTTACACTTTTTAATCTTGAAACAGCAAACGTACCGACGGGTGGAGCCGACCGTGAACACGTCAGTCACAGCCGTCACCGGTAAGAGGTCATAGGTCAAGCGTGACTTTAAAACCTGCTGTTCTAACACTTTAGATGGTTTAAAGTGAAATATTTAGACTTTAATCAGGATTTTTTTCATTGTGTGATTATTTTTTAAGTCAGATAAAGTTTGTACGGTGGCCCAGAAGGCCCCACGAAACACAAAATCCACAACAACAGAGATAATAATGAATGTAAATAGTAAACAGAATTTATGAGAGACAAAGAGATTCTGTGTTTGGTTGGACCTTCTGGGCCACCGTAGATTTAGATTTATGTAAAACAAAAATATTTTTATTATCTGACTGATCGTTTTGTTGGGTGTGATGAATGAATTAGAATTGTAATAAATCAGAATGAATCCTATTATTTATGTTTTCTGCCCTGATACTGATCATTTATCTGTTGACCTCCTGTGACCTTTAGACACGTACCGGTTCCTCAGCGACCCCCCCGCTGACCTTTACCCCAGCGTAGCTGTGGTCGGGTTCTCCGGATTCCTCGGCCTTTATTTGGCTAAAGGTGACGTTTGATTCCAGTTTGGAGCGCTTCTTGTTGGGAATTTGTTCAAAATATGAATGTTTTTAACTTTAAATCAATAATTAAATGATGTTAAAACTGTTATAAATACTAATACTGCTAATTTAAATGTTATTCTACATAAATACCCAGGTTAATTTGATCTAACTGAAGCCTAAAACTTAATAAAACTAACCTGAAACTAACTTCTCTTGTTTACATGTTGTTGTTTTTCCTCTCAGATAAAACAAGATTTAGTTATTTCTGGTATTTTTTTGTTATCGTGACCTTTTGATGCTGCTGATTAATCAGGAAGATAAACGCTTTAGTGTGACAAACAGTTGAATCTGAAAACACATCTTTAAGCCTGCAGATTTTTATCTGATGTCTAGTTTTATTTGTTTATTTTATATGAATGTAAACAAAAAGAGACTAAAACCCAAATCTGAGCAGCCTGACTGGAATCAGCTGATCCAACAGCTGATTTGGGTCCGTCTGCAGACGCTGGATGTCCCACAGCAGCAGTTTGTCCCCAGAAGAGACGCACTGTGGTTTTACTGGTGTGGTGAGAATAGAAGGACTTTGACCTTTGACCCTTTCCTCCTGGTTTCAGGTTCCAGATTAAAGCGTTTGCTGTTTCCTGGTGGCCTCATGGCTCTGAGCGCCTCCATGTTTTATCCTCAGCAGGCGGCTGCCTTGCTAAAGGTGGGTTTCTCTCTCTCTCTCTCACACACACACACACACACACACACACACACACACACACACACACACACACACACACACACACACACACCTGTGACCCTGAGGATGAAGGAGGACGCCACGTCCCCCGTCGTCGTCCCGTTCTCCGCTCAGATGAAGCCAGGATTCTGTAGAACCGGCTGCAGGTCAGATCCTCTGGATTAGCGTCTGTAACTGGTTACGTCTGAAAGTCAGCCTGATTCAAGATGGCCGCCACACCTGGCCAACCCCAAACCCCCATAGCGTTCCAGATGTTTGATGTTTTAGCAGCTGAGATTGTCTCACACTAACGGACCACAGGAACAACCAGAACCATCAACCAGGGGGATGTCCGCTTGGACCTCCAACCGGGTCAAAGTTCGAACCAACAGCTGGAAGAAAACGGGTCCCAGATTTAAGCCCCGCCCCTTCAGTATAGACAAAGAGTCAGTAGAAGTAAAGAGCTGAACCACCTGATCATCAGCGTGTTTCTGCTGAAGCCTCCTGGGATTAACTCCAGGTGTTAACTCCTGCTGGGACCAGTTCAACCAGCAGCTCGGGGTTTGGGATGGGTCTGGCTTCATTAAACTCATCGGGTTTATCGGTGGTCTCGGCTGCTCTTGCACCGAAATCAGAGTGTTTGGATTCTGGGAACAGTTCAGGAGAATTCCATCCAGACTTCCTGACCTGGGTTTGAACTGGGAATGGTTTCGTGTTGGGAAAACTCGTTTTTCCCTGGAGGAAGATTCCAGTTTCTTGTATGTTTGTTTAAAGGCTTTTATTTTGAAAACCTTTCGTCACATTTCATGATGTTTTATTAATTTGTTGTTTTTTTAAGCTTATAAAATGTTATTTATTAAAACTGATTAAAACAAAGTGAACTTTTTCCAGCTTCACCTGTGTTTAACCGTCTTTCCCTCCAGGTGAGTCGAGACTCAGCGTTCACCTGGGCTCAGCAGGGTCGCGTTGCCATGGAAACGCTGTGGAAAGCTCCGTCCAGCAAGAAGAAGGTGAGTCTTTTTGAACGTTGAACACTGGTTTGGTTTGTTTTGTCTCGATTCTTCTGACTGTTGTGGTTTTAGTCGGCGACGCCGGAGAGGAAGGAGGAGTCGGCCTCGAACAGCTGAGGGAAACACTTCCTGTTTCCCACGGAGACGTCCTTCAGGTCAGATATTTGGGTGTTAGGCTCAGAAACGTTCCAGAGTTAGCTCATTTCCTCCCAACAAGCGGCTTCATTCACTTGGATTGCAGAGCGGTTCTGATTCCAACCTACGGGTCGTCACGATCCCGAGAATTCTGGAAAAACTTCCCACGAGCATCTGAGCTCTCCCAGACTCTGCTCCTGGTTTCTCCTCCTCCTGAGTCGCAAACACGAAAAGGTTTTTTACGTACTCATCAGGCAGCTTCCTGAACAGCCTCAGTTCAGAGAAACGGCTACAGTCCTGGATAATTGTGTAATTATTAAGTTATTTATGTTTACAAATGTGCCGCATTTACTCATTAAATCTCATATCTAGCACGGACTTGGCTCCTGAATATTTGTTTGTATTTTATTTTCATTATTTCTGTGGTTAAAAACAAACTGTTTTTATAAGTTTACCCATAATTCCCTTTTCCCAACTACGCTGTCAGACTGCTGGTGCCTGTGCTCAGCACCCTCACCTCCATCAGTGAGTCCCAGAGCAGCTGTAGCATCACTACCAGCTGGTGAGGATGGGTGAATAACTGTTGTAAAGTGCCTTGGGGGGTCCTAGGACTCTGGAGGGTGATATATCAAATACAGGCCGTTTAATAATTGTCATTTAAATATGGACCTAAAAGTATTCTAGTTCCATCCATTTTCTTCCGCTTATCCGGAGTCGGGTCACGGGGGCAGCAGCCTAAGCAGGAAGGCCCAGACTTCCCTCTCCCCATCCACTTGGGCCAGCTCTTCCAGGAGAATCCCGAGGTGTTCCCTGGCCAGGTGAGAGACATAGTCCCTCCAGCGTGTCCTGGGTCTTCCTTTAGGTCTCCTTCCAGTTGGACGTGCCCGGAAAACCTCACAGGGAGGCGTCCTAACCAGATCCCAGAGCCACCTCAACCTGCTCCTCTCGATGTGGAGGAGCAGCAGGTCTACCATGAGCCCCTCCCAGATGATCGAGCTTCTTGCCCTCTAAGGGAGAGCCCAGCCGCTCGTACCCGCGATCTGGTTCTCAGATTTATTATTTTAACCCTAAATTCCTTCGAGCAGCTGAAGTCAGACAACTGAATCATGACGGAACGTTAAAACCAAAACGAAGTTTGCCACCGACCCAAATCAGCTGATTCCCAGCATGAATCATAAAGATGCCGAGTCTGCTTTATTTATCCGTTACTTCCTGAAAGTTAATTTTCACCTTTAATGCAGAATCACTTCCTGTTTCTGGTCCTGAGGTTTGGACCAGAACCGGTCCTGCTGTTTAGTTTGTGGGTTCACATGAAGAACCAGAGCAGGATGTGGTTAAAACGCGTTTTATTAACATTATTAATAAAGTTCTGGATAAAATCAGTTAATAAACTACAAACAGAACCATGTGATTAACTTTATCTAGAGCTGAACTCTGAACACCCCCCCCCCCCCCCCCCCCCCCCTACTCCTCAGGAGGGGTGGCCATCTTGACGAGGCTGTCCTTGTCGAATCTGAAGAGCCTCCAGCCCTCCTCCTGGGAGAGGTCCTCGGCGCCACGGCGCTTGTAGAACTGGACCGAGGGCTCGTTGTTTTCGGCCACAACGAACATCATGCCGGTGCAACGCGTCTTCATCGCCAGCTGGAGGAGGAAATAGAACGATCAGACGAAATGTGGTTACAGGAAATAGAAATGTGTCAGGAAGTCTTACATCACTGAGGTGTCGCAGGATCTCCGAACCGATGCCGAGACCTGGAACAGACGGGAAGAAAAAGCTTTTACTCACACAGCAAACAAAATCAGGCGAAACGGAGACCAGGTGAGGGGTCTGACCTCTGTACTTGTCCATCACGTAGAACTCCTCCAGGTAGAGCTGTTTGCCCACCCAGGGGTCATAGGTGAAGTAGTACATGGCGAACCCCACAACGCTCGGATCTGCAGCCAGTCAGAACAGAACCCGTTTATAAACCGTTTACAGTCAAAAGCTGATAAAACGTAAACAAAGTTTCATCAGGATGAAACCTCAGACACGAGTGTTTACTCTGCTTCCTCCTGCAGGAACGTTTCTAAACATTCCTGCTTTTATTTCAGGATTTCCTTCACTGCAGGTTGTTTCAGATACAGGAGGATTCATGTTAGACGGCTTATGGGGACACCTGCAGCCCGACTCATACAACACTCCAGCTGGAACTGCTTGTTCTCATTAAAGCTGGATTTGTTTAAACAGGAAACACATCCTGTTACACCTGTGGAGAAAAGCGCGTCAGCAGAAAACTGTTTAGGAGCCAAAAGCAACAGATGTACCTTCACTGCTGCTGCGCTCTCCTTGCATCTCAGCAATGAAACAATGATAAAACGGAGTTTCACCAAATCCATCCTCCAGAAGATCTACGAGGAAGGGAAATGACTGTCAGCAAAAGCACACACACACACACACACACACACACACACACACACACCTCACCTTTCTCCGTCAGTGTCACCTGGTGCTCCATTTCTTCATATTTTGCAAGTTCCTGGAAGACCAAAGGAGTAAATCATGTTAAACATCCTTAAGAAAGGAGATGTCCAAAACTGGCTTTTACAGATCAGACGTTAAAATAATGATTAAAAGTGGAATATTGATGTTATTTAAATTCTGTTTCCTCCTGAATAAAAATACATTTCTTAATAAAATATAAACACTAAATAATAAAAGCAAAAATAGTTTAGAGGGAAACCAAACTGATACTTCCTGCTTCACTGATACTTCCAGACTTTTTGATTTCTCCCGTTAATTTCAGTAAACACCTGGCAGCCATCTTTCCGTTACCGGGCCTGCCCTGATAAGACCTTCAACTCGGAAGCAGACGGCCCATATAAGGAGAGGTGGCGGTCGGGCCGGCCCGCGCTGACCTCACACATCCTCCGGAAACTTCCTCCGACTCATTTCTCACCTTCTAACTGCGTCTGAAACCTGATCAGGTAGCTAGCCGAGGCTAACTGGTAGCCCTGGGGCGTTATACTGACGTATTACCGGATTACAGATTAAATCCCGGTTTTGTTCTCGCTGTCCGGTTACCTTCACCAGTCGTAATATATCGGGCACATCCTTGGGTTCAGCTTTTCGTAATTTAAACTCCATTTTCTCCTTTTACTCTTCTTCCCTCTGGTTAAAAGTCCTCTGTACGTGAAGTGGAAGATCAGTTGTTTCTTCATTCGCTTCGCAGTGGCTTTTCCCCCACAGTCGGCCTCTGGTCAGGACGCGCTCGTCGAGACAAGAACATCCAGCGAAGAGGGCCCTCGGCTGGGTCGCTGCCGTGTCTACTGAGCCTCCTTTGTTTACGGCGGGATTATATAGCCCCAGCTCGTGCTCGATTACTATTGGTCAGTTCACTCAGCTCTCAGATTTCTGACGAATCAACGTCGCCCTCTGGCTGTCCTCCGAACCTATCAGCACTCAAGGAATAATCATGTGAGGGAACTCTTGTTTTTGACGGAAGAAGCTGAATTTAAGCTCTTGGGTAAACGTTTTAATCTTGTATTAACTGCGTTTTCCAAGGTTAAAATGATTTTTAAAGACAAACATCGTCCCAAGCTGCCTTTGCTCATCTCGTGTGGACACATATATTTATTTGCATATGATTTGTTTTTTGCCAAATGGTCTGTGTGTGAATTATATTTTTATTATACCTAATTAAAAAGTCACCTCCCTGTTAGACACCAGCTCCATAGTATATACAGTTAAGGGCCTTTTGTGCCAGTATTTAGAGCCTTTGAGTCTAAATACTGAATACCAGTGTCATAGGGTAAATATGTATTTGTTTGTCAGCGTGCTCTGGTTTAGTCAGACTTACCCTGATGTCAGCAGGAAGGCTGTTTACCAGGTGGTTTGATGCTAACTGTGGCAGCAGTGACTCCTGATGAGCCTTTAGTATGGATTTTTGAAAAGATTTGTAGTTTATAAAATGGTACAGCTTCTCAACTTTGAAACTCTGAGCATCTTAAAGCAGAAAAAAGCACCGGAATACTTATTAATAATGTAGGTAGGTGATATAATAAAGATGTAGTTGACTTGTGTCAAAACAAACCCTTTCTGTTCCATTTGATCTAGATGGATTAGAGCCCTTAATTTTACTGATGTATGTTAAAATTGTCTGATGAAAAACCTAAACTTGTCAGGCATGCTGATCGACGTGCATTTCCTTTAAGCTTAAATATTTAATATTTCTTAAAATATTGCCAAAAAGGAACATTTTGAAAACCACAAACTTCTGATTAGCACAGATTCTGTGGTTTTCACAAAGCCTCTTTATTTATAAATGTTTAGAGAAGGAGACGCACGTCGGCCAGCTTGTCTGATCATTTTAAGGTTTTTGTCGGACAATATTAAAATACGTCGGTAATTTTCCAAACGTCTGACATGTTTTCACAAACACTGTCTATAGTCTGTAGTTCATCCCATTTGTTCTGTAAATATAAAAAATCAATGATTTATTAAAACCCAAGTATACCTAAGTAATCATCCAGCACAGTAAAAACACAAAACCCTACAACTATGAGCTGCTGCTTTTAGAAGTCAATCATAGAGGAACACACATCTGCACACTTCAGTCTGCCAAAATGTTGTATTTATTCTCAAGCTTTCGGTCCACAGACCATCAGAACAATTCCTGTTGACCGTAAGCTTGAGAATAAATACAACAGTTTTAAGACTGAAGTGTGCAGATTTTTGCTCGCTTCATTCCATTGTTTATCCTGCACCTCAACCCGGACGAGCAGTGTTTATTTCATCTCTTGCAGAAGTTAGTCGTGCAAAAACTCTGTGAAGCTATTTAAATGTTTACAAACCAAATATTAAACCACCGAGTGCATCTGAAGAACGTTTGAGCTAAAATTCTCAACAGTAAAATGATCAAATGCATTTTTCTGTGTGCTGAACAGCGGAGAGCAGCGTCGTCACTGTGGCCGGTCCTAACTTACATCTAGAGGTTGCAGAAGGGTCTTCTTTAAACCAAGGATCAAAACCTTTTAGAGGCAGTCATTTTAAAACGTTCGTTTTGCATTGAAAAGAAAACGTCACACACTGAGTTGAATACATATTGATATTATTGAAACTACATTTTGAGCTTCAAACTTTGACCCATTTAAACATTTTTACTCCTGGTCCATCGAGGTAAACATGCTGCTGGTGACTTTTTTTGAACTGGTCACACATGCTTCTGTTGGTTTCCAGTGAGGTTCTGCTGGTGACGTTTCAGATCCACTGACTGACTCAAGGTTTTCCCACACTGGTCACAGGGCTATTGGCTTTTCTCCAGGGTGGACACGTTGGTGACGTTTTAACTTTGACGGTAAATAAAAGGACTTGTCACAATGGCCACAGCAGTAACGCTCCTTTGTCTTTTCGGCAGGTTGGTCCAACGATCTGACTCTTGATCCTTTCGCAAATTTCTCCTCTTCTCTGCTGGTCTGGGTCTTTGAAATAAAAAAAAGATAAACAAAACACTTTTAATCCAGCTGCTTCCAGGAACATTATCTCAAAAATTCACCTTTCCTTTTGGAAAATTAAAGAGCAAGTCACCCCCAAATCAACTATTTTTTTCTGATAAACTATATAAATGTGTGTCTAATCGTGCTGCAGACACGTGTAGTCAGTAGTTTTGCACTTTAGTGGATTTTAGATAAAATTATAATTTTCTGCCTAAAACTGTCAGTGTTGTGCCGTTGTCAGGTAAAAACTCTGCACTGCATTTGAATTTAAATCTGCCATCGCTATTGGCTAAGAGGTACCCTAGAACGTTAGCTGGTACCATATGATGTCACAATGTCGTGAGCCTGTGTGTGTGTGTGTGTGTGTGTGTGTGTATTTGTTAGCGGCTCCGCCCTCTTGGGCTGCTAGGCAACAGCATTTGTTGTATTTTTCAAACAGGAAGTTAGCCTAGTGAACTAGACCAAATTCTTGCTTTGCAAAGAATGGTCTAGGCATGCTCCATTGGAACCTCACCAGCTCCTGCCAGGACTCTGGCTGGCCAATCACAGCTCTCTAGAGGGGTTTCAAACACATAAAGAGCTGTGATTGGTCCATAATGGTGGGCCCATCATAGTGCTCTATCTGCTTAATGAACAAATCACAGAGCTTTATCCGCTTTGTGGGCCAATCAGGGCACTCTATATGCCTGGTGGGTGGGATGATGCAACAGAGTGAAACAAGAGAATGTCACATGCATTGTCCAGTGGAATGCGGAGATCATTTGAAAGACAACGGTAGAACCCGCCCCACAACCGAGAGCCGTCAATGGAGCGTGGCCAGACTAAATAATACATTTATTTAGTCTGGCTTGCCAGGCTAACAGGAAGTGGGAGTTGAGTAAGAATCTGGTAGGGGGTGACTTGCTCTTTAAATGCAGATAAACTGAGTTCTATCATAATACATAACAGTTTAGTCCCAGACTCGCTTGTTTTACATGTTTCAGATGTTTCCTAGCGACCAGATTTTGTGTTCACGCATTTGCCAAATGTATTTATCCGAAGCAGCTTACTAGTGGATGTCAAAACATTTGACCTCAATCTCAGCTCTACAGGTGAAATGAACCCACCTCTTCCACCGACGACATTTTCCTGTTGGTGATGCTTCACTCCCCCTGTCCTCTATCCAGGAATCACCTCAGGAATGCCCATAAGAACACATCATGTCAGAGGAAATGCTGTGGAAACAGCAGTATATAACCATTATGATAAAGATGTGATAAGCAGCGAAGCACACAGTACTTTTATAATGATTTTAACTGGATTTCCATTTAAAGATCTCACTGGCAGCTCAAATCATCTGTGTTACTATTATGATTTTGCAGCATTCATGCATTAACAGCAACGATTCTGATGGCAAAACTGCTAAAATCCAAAGTTTCCAAAAGTCAAAGTTTCATGAAGGCACTTCAGACCGGCAGAAGGTTATAAAAGATTTTTTTAAATTTACCGTTTTTGTGAAGATGTTGAGCTGTCCTCTGCAGGGTGGACATGTCCTCTATCAGCTCACAGAATCAGAAGGGTTTTAAAAAGTGCAGCCTTGTTGTCATGGTATGAATGAAATCTTTATTTCGAACATTATAATAAAAATAAAAATAACTATTATAACAATAGTGATAATAACAAAGTCATTGTAGACATTAAAAACAAAATCACACTGATAATCACAAAAATTAAATTATCATGTTCCAGGTAACCAAGGGTGGCATCAGTTGAACAATTCCAGAATCCGTTTTAAAATGAAACAAATCACCTTTCAGTAGAAAAACAAACAACGACGATATGGCTGAAATAGTTTTTTTTGTACCTCAGAAAGATCTGAATAAACACCAAATGATTTTTTTATGTCCTAAAATGTTAACCTGTACACAACTGAACGTGTGTGTGTGTGTGTGTGTGTGTGTGTGTGTGTGTGAGAGAGAGAGAGAGAGAGAGAGAGAGAGAGAGAGAGAGAGAGAGAGAGAGAGAGAGAGAGAGAGAGAGAGAGTGTTTTATACACAAAAGTAAAATTCAGATTCTGGAGTTTTCAGAAAACATCTGGGGCTTGAGCCCCCAGTTGCCACCCCTAGCCCCGCCCCTGGGTTCGAGGAAGCTTCTCTCTGTTCCAAACCCAAAGTGTTTATTTTTGATTTGAGTTTCTTGGTCTTCTCTAGAGTGGATCCATTTGTGAGCCGTAGTAATTTTCATAAATGTGACGCATACAAGGATAATAAAAGAAGTCTGATTTTTAGAGAAGTGCTAATTTCCTGGTGTCCTAAATTGTTGTTGTTAATCCTGCATGTTCCGTTCCTCACACAGTGATGACGACAGCTTTCTGATTTCTGAGGAATCAGCTTCTCCTCCGGGCAGCTTTTCATCATGTCAGCACAAAAGATGAACCACACAAGAAAGACTATTGCTAATATTTGAATTAAGATGAATCAAATGACTGCATGACACTTTGTTTTTCCTGAGAAGACTTTAAATTGTATAAATAATAAGAATAATTTTTTAGGGAATCAAATCTGAGGGGAGGAGAGGGTTTCCCGCCCATCCAGTTACACCAATAACACAAATTTCCAGTCCAGTCACAGAGTGTGGAGCTGGGATTTAAACACACCCATGGTTACGGAAAACACCAGACTCCTGAGTGGAAAGTTAAAAGGTCGAAAGGACAAAAGGAAAACTTAAAGAGGATCAGAACTCTAGACCGACAGCAGCAGAAGCTAAATGACCTTTCCAGGTTATTTCTTTGTGGTGGTGTAACTATTCTCTCTTCCCGTATTCCTGGACATCTTTAAGGTTGTTTGTTTGCACCACTTTGCAGTGATTTCCCTCCAATAGACACCTAAAGTTTTACCTCATTTATGTTTGCTGCCAAATCTATTTCTCTGTGTTCAGTTCCACGAGGAGTCATTCACCTTATTAATGGCTGTGGTATGCATACACGACCTATACATGTATGTGTCATGTACACATACATGTACATGACACATACATGTACACGATACATACATGTACACGACCCATACATGTATGGGTCGTGTACATGTATGTGTCATGTACACATACATGTACATGACACATACATGTACACGATACATACATGTACACGACACATACATGTACACATACATGTACACGACACATACATGTACACGACACATACATGTACACGACACATACATATACACGACACATACATGTACACAACCCATACATGTACACGATACATACATGTACACGACACATACATGTATGTGTACATGTATGTGTCATGTACACATACATGTACATGACACATACATGTACACGATACATACATGTACACGACACATACATGTACACATACATGTACACGACACATACATGTACACGACACATACATGTACACAACCCATACATGTACACGACACATACATGTACACGACACATACATGTACACGACACATACATGTACACGACACATACTTGTACACGACACATACATGTACACGACCCATACATGTATGGGTCGTGTACATGTATGTGTCATGTACACATACATGTACATGACACATACATGTACACGATACATACATGTACACGACACATACATGTACACGACACATACATGTACACGACACATACATGTACACGACCCATACATGTACACGATACATACATGTACACGACACATACATGTACACGACACATACATGTACACGACACATACATGTACACAACCCATACATGTACACGACACATACATGTACACGATACATACATGTACAAGACACATACATGTACACGACACATACATGTACACGACACATACATGTACACGACACATACATGTACACGACACATACTTGTACACGACACATACATGTACACGACCCATACATGTATGGGTCGTGTACATGTATGTGTCATGTACACATACATGTACATGACACATACATGTACACGATACATACTTGTACACGACACATACATGTACACGACACATACATGTACACGACACATACATGTACACGACCCATACATGTACACGATACATACATGTACACGACACATACATGTACACGACACATACATGTACACGACACATACATGTACACAACCCATACATGTACACGACACATACATGTACACGATACATACATGTACAAGACACATACATGTACACGACACATACTTGTACACGACCCATACATGTACACAACCCATACATGTACACGATACAAACATGTACACGACCCATACATGTACACAACCCATACATGTACACGATACATACATGTACACGACACATACATGTACATGACACATACATGTACACGACCCATACATGTACACAACCCATACATGTACACGATACATACATGTACACGACCCATACATGTACACAACCCATACATGTACACGATACATACATGTACACAACACATACATGTATACGACCCATACATGTACACAACCCATACATGTACACGACACATACATGTACACATACATGTACACGACACATACATGTACACGACACATACATGTACACGACACATACATGTGCATGACACATACATGTATGTGTACATGTATGCGACACATACATGTACACATACATGTATGTGTCATGCACATGTATGTGTACATGTATGCGACACATACATGTACACCAGAGGTGTCAAACTCATTTTAGCTCAGGGGCCACATTGAGGGAAATCTAGTCCCAAGTGGGCCGGACCGGTAAATTATAAACAACTTCAGATTGTTTTCTTTGTTTTAATACAATCAATATAAAACAAGGCTGGAGCCTGAGGACAGTGTATCCAAAATAGTACAAGTACAACACCTGAAGTGTACTTGAAAATTTGAAATAAATATATATATATATATATATATATATATATATATGTATATATATATATATATGTATATATATATATATATATATATATATATATATATATATATATATATATATATATATATATATATATATAACATTCTTTAGTGATTCAAAGAGCTTACAGATCACATGGCTAGATCAGTTTCATGCAGCACTTAAAGTATATTTGACTCATTTTAATTAACATCTTTTAGCTTTCACCAGTGCATCAACATCAGGAGTCACATCCTGAGTGGCGGTCAACTTCAGGATGGGATTCAAGTTCTTGTGTGAGCCTTGAGCGCAGCTTTGTGTCCTGAAATATCAGCCTGAAAAGCCACGACCTTCCCTGGACATGGGTAGGAACAGAGAGAGGTTTGATCCGTGGCTGAAGAGGAATTTTTCACCCCACTGGTTTGACCAGAAGGTGGCGTCAGCGTCACTTGAATGAGTTTCTTGTAGGAAGGCACAATTCGCTTTCAGCCCTTAGATAAACATAAACATAGCTTTTCTTTTAACATTATCCCTGAGACCTCTAACATTCAACGACACAAAGGACAAACACGTGCGTTGCATTAAAAATAAACAAAAATAGAGTTTAAAATATTAAGAATATCAAACTTGAAGATATACAAAAAGAAAAATGTAGTTTACTTTCCTGTTTAGTGAAAAGTGAAAGAACAGTGGTGTCGGCACCTCCCATCCCATTCAAAACTGTCAGACGTCCCTCTTTAAGTACAATTCAGAAAGCAAGTAAAGGTGAACACCTTTCAGCCGTCCGCCAGAACGCGACGGCCGTTGATATAACCGACAGCTCCCCTGTAGTAAGCCTTCTCCCTCTCCATACGATCCTCCATCGTCAACTCCTCGGCAAAACGGATATTTTCACTCTCACAAATCTGAGCCTTTTTGGACTTCTTCCATATTCCATCTCGGTGTGAATGGAATTATGACTTGGCGATTTCTGCCCTCTTCTTTCCTTCCAATCCGGTGCACAGTGTCGACGATGTACTCCAAATTATCCGACCGTTCTGGGGCAATCTTGGTGAGAATTTTGATCCCCTCTTTTCTGATATCTTCGCCCATGCCTTCTTTCATTCCTTTAATCCTTAGATTCCACCTTCGTGAGTACCGGTCTCATTCTCTTGCCTTTTCTTTGAGATCGTCAACTTCTCTCCGTAAGGTTGAGGCTTCCTTCTCCAAACCTGCGATTTTATGTTTACGATCACGGACTTCAGCTGCATTGAACTCAATGGACTCAGCAAGACTGCCAATCAACGAGGCATTCTCAGATAACTTGTTGTTAATGTCCGCCATTTTGTCATCTTGTTTATCAAATCGCACGTGGAGAGCTTGAATAGCTACCAGGATGTCGCTGGCTGTGGGACTGGGTCTAGCAATCTTTCTCGGATGGTCACCTAGACGGAGTCGAGAGAAGATAATCATTCATTTCCTCCAGATTTCTTTTTTCCCCGCCGCCACTTTCAAGCTCCATGTCTGAAAGGCAGTAGTCGTGGTCATCCGCAGCTGAAGCCAAGTCTCGTATTTTATCATTCTGGGAAGACTTGCTTTCCCTTTGGTCCTTCTTCTGTTCTTTTGGCATCTTTGTGAAGTCAGCGTAAGGTTTTGAGGGAACAAAGCGTCAAAAAAGAAGGGATGAAAGGCACCTTGCACCAGAGCTAAGCTAAGGACAGCTGCTTAGTTCGCCATCTTCCAGACTTCTGATTCTGAAGCTTCCTGGTGGCCTAATAGCCTTTCTGCCCAGGGTCAGACCATAGGTCAGACCTTCTACACACCTGAGAG